GGAAGCTCTCATTAAAGTTTCTGCCAGGCCTCAAGATCAACAACTAGCACCCCTCCCCCCCGGGACCTAGTTTGCTGTTTCCGAGGGCCAGGTAGGTGCAGAAAGACAAGCCTGGCCTTGCTCACGTCCTTCAGCGTCTTTCAAGCAAAAGTCTTGGGCAGACAGAAATGGCAACCGCAGAGGAACCCAACACGCTCCGTGTCCTTCAGAAGCCAACTATGGCTGCTTGCTTGACTGCCCAGAAATGGGGCAGGGTGTGGTAGGGGAGGAGAGAGGCCAGAACTCCCGTGTTGCTGATTAGGCATGAAAGAGGCTAGTCCTGCTTCTAACGTGGCAAAGGATGCTTCCTCAGAGGCCAGCCCTGTGAAGCTCAGTGGACTCTCTTATGCAAGGCCATTGCATAATTCAATGGATGCTCCTGAGGTCTATCTGGTAATACAATAGGCATTGTTTGCTGCTTAAGCATTCTCTCTCATTTAGCCAAGCTAGACAAAGGGACCACCACATAGCAGAGTTTGTCGTGTGATTGTTGCTCATGAGGTTTATGGAGTTTAAGCTAGCGGCATTCAAGGGAGAAAGAAAGAAGAGGCGTGACTCCCACAGAACTGGTTGAGCACGGACATGTATGGGTGTGAAAAGTGGACATTGAAGAAAGCTGATGAGAAGAACATTGAGGCATGCCAGACAGGGGATGGAGGCGCATTTTGTGCTGGAGACCAGCAGAAAGGAGAAGTGGGTCCTAGCGCAAATCCGTCCAGAGTGTTCCCTAGAAGCAAAAATAACAAGGCCGAGGCTATCATGCTTTGGACACATCATGGGGAGGCTAGAGAAGACAATCCTGAGTGGGAACGTCGATGGTAGAAGAACCAAAGGAGGACAAAATATGAGACGGTCTGGATCCAGGAGGGAAGCCCCAGCCTGGAGCAGGACTCCCATGGGCATTTTCCTTCACGGGTTCCTGAGGTCAGAGGCGACCTGAAGGCACGTAACAACAAGGGCCTCTTGGCTGCTTTGGCCGGGCCTCGCCATAACGTGGCCATGGCCTCCAGGCCACATGTGTTCAGATCTAACAGTGAAAGGCAGCGCCGAAATCATTCCTTGGATTTGGGCGGAACTCCCAGAAAAGCCATTGTGATACAGAGGCGAGCGTCTCCCTGGAAGCCTCTAGATCAAATTTCCAGTCTCCTGTGAAGACATGCCTTGGATCTGTCACTTAGATTGCTGTTCCACGGACACACAGTGGGGCCCGGCATGCCCCCGTCCCATGAACTCTGGCTCACAAGAGCGATCCAACTGGCATTTTAAGAGCAGCAGGGGGAGGTGAGGAAGTAGAAGCCCTTGAGCCTTCATCTTAATAGCACATTTTTCAAAAATGCATTGCTATGATTAGCAGCTCTGAATAGAGCTATAGTGATCTATAAAATGGCAGAAGAGCTATAGATCACTGTTGTGTTTAAAAAAAAAAATACATAGCCTCCAGATCTTATCCCCAAAACAGATGGTTGATCGTGTCTAAGAGCAAAACCTTTTTCAAAGGCAAAAGGAGGGTTAAACTCAGGCTGTCCTCTTGGTTCCTTCCTCCAGGCAGGCGCTTCCTGGCCACCTGGCAGTCGTTTCCACTCCTGTGACCTCTGACTGCACACCTGCTCTCGTCTGCTTCAGCACACAAATAATATTTCAGGCACAGGGTGAGCACTAAACGTTGCTGCTTGCCAGACCCTCAGCTGCAGCGTGGCCGGAGGGGAGAGGTTTGGGCCCAAAGGGTGCTGCAGAGAAAGAGCCGCTAATGAGCCACTGCCACGGCATCCTTGCAGGTGGCCTGAGTCAGAGCTTAGTGCCAGCCCTGTTTTTAAGGCCCAGTGAAGAGGCTGGCTCCATTTCCCCGGGGCCGGTCTGTTTTTCCTATCGCAAAGAGTGGTGTGGGACAACGTGGCGGTGGGGGAGAAGTCCTGCACAGGCCACCTTGGAGGAGAGGCAGGTGAAAATGCATACAAAATTTGACTCCTTTAAATCTGGCAGATTGAGGGCCTTTGCGCCAGCTTGGGATCCCCAACGAGCCCTTGGCCTCCAACAGCCCAAGGGCTCTCCGGCACCCAGCAGGGCTCCCCAGATGGATCAGTAGAAAGCTGCTTTCCTTCTGCACATCTGACCATGAAACAGCAAACGGAGCTCAGGAGTACCACTTTCCCCAGCAGGATTCAGCCGCCCTGCAGTCCTCACCTGGCTCAGCTGGCCATCCAGTGCAGCTGGGATGCGTTTGGGAAAAGCAAAGCCCGCTTCCCTTCTTCTGATGGCCTCGTGGGGATCGCTTTGGAAATCAGACCCCAGAGGCCTGGGTTGGAAGCCATGTGGCTTCATGGGAACACGGTTGGTGGGCTGCATTAACTTTGCAGCCTTCCCCTCACTGTGCTCATTTCCCAACAAAATGACGAAGGTGCGTGATGACTTTTTAAAAGGCAAAAAGAGAAAATGAACCCTGAACCTCTTTGCTATTGTACCAGAGTACTGGCCAGCAGAGTTTCTGCATTTAGGGGCTGGTTGGAGCTCAAAGCAGCCCTTAAGTCCATTAAGCTCAGGGGGCGCTTGTTACTCTCTGTCATAGGGTAGGACAAATTCAGGATATGTCACCCTGGATTTCTTGGAGGGTGAGCTCAACGTGACGACATAGTTAAGAGCATCTATCACTGATTCTGACCTGCTTGCACTGACTGCTTATATGCTTCCAAACCCAATTCCAGCTCCTATGAAGTCCTACACAACTTGGGACCACAATCCCTGACGGAACATCTCTCCCGACCACCATCTATTCAGGCACTGCGATCAAGATCCTGGCCTCCCAAGTGCTGCCTCCCAAGGGAGGCTCAGTTGGGCACAAGGAAAGGGCCTTCCCGGTGCTGGCCTCCCAGCGGTGGAACGAGCTCCCCACTGAGGCCACTTGGCACCCTCCTCACTACCATGTTGGCACCAGATTAAGACTGCCCTCTGCTACAGGGCATTTAATCCGTTTATTGGGGCTTTGTGAGTTGCTCGAACAGGTCCCAAAATTTCATTGAATCATAGAGTTGGAAGGAGCTCGAGGACCACCAGTTCCAACCCCACATTCACTGCAGGACACCAAGTTAAACCATCCCTCTCAGATGGCTGCCCAGTTGCACCTTGAATCCCTCTAGTGTGGGAGAGCTCACAACCTCCCAGGGTAATTGGTTCCAGTTACAGTCAGGAAAATTTTCCGGCTGTCCAGCCAGAACCTGGCTTCCTGCAACTTGAGCAGGAACCTGCACTCTGGGAGTATGGAGAAGAGATCCTGTCCTTCCTCTTTGGGTCAGCCTTTCAAGTACTTGCAGAACGCTGCCATTAGCCTCCCCCAGTCTTCGCAAGGCAGAAGAGTTCTCTCCATCTCTCCTCACAGGGCTTTGCTTCCAGTCCCTGCATCATGCATGTTGCCCTCCTCAGAACGCTTTCCAACTTGCCCGCACCTTTCCAAAACTGATACCCTGAACTGGACACAGTACCCCTGATGATGCCAATCCAGTGCTGAGCAAAGAACTCGTACTTCATGTGACTTGGAAGTGATACGTCTATTAGTGCGACCCAAAATAGCGTTTGCCCTTTTTGCTGCTGCATCACGCTGTTGATTCATATGCCAAGATCTCTGTTGCTTGCATTATTCTTGGGCCAGGTATTCCCAGTCTTATAACAGGGTTTTGTTTCCAGTCCCCAGATCATCCCCATTGCCCTCCTCTGAACCATTTCCATCTTGTCTGCAGCTTTCTTAAACTAGGATACCCTGAACTGGACACAGGAATGCAGAGGCCTAACCCATGCGGAGTGAAGGGGAGCCAGTACTGCACGTGACTTGGAAGTGGGATTTCTGCTCATGTAGCTAAAGTAGCGTTTAGTTTTTTTGCAGCCACCTCACACTGTTGACTCCTATTTAGCTGGTGATCTACAATTCCAAGATCCCTCACTTGCATTATTCTTGAGCCAGGTATTCCCCGCCATGCAAGGATGTATTTGGTTTCTTTTTCCTTGGTGCAGAGCGTGGCTTTTGTCCCTCCTGAATTTCATGCTGTGGTTTTCAGCCCTGCTCTCCAGCCTATCAAGATTACCTGGAATCTTCTGTCTTCCAGGGTATTAGCCATCCCACCCAGTTCTGGGTCATCTGCAGATTCAATCATCGTTCCCTGCACTTCCTTGTCCAAATTATTAACAAAAATGCCGAAGAGAACTGGGCCCAGGACTGAACCCTGTGGTACCCCACTTGCTACCTCTCCCCACTATGAGGTGCCGTTGATGAGCCCTCTTGGAGTCCAATTCTGTAGCCAGCTGTGGACCCACCTGGCAGTTGTTCCTTCTTCTGCTCAGGCTGTCTTGGGTCACTTTGTCCGAAGTTTTGTGGAAGTCAAGATATATTTACCTTGAGTGGCATTTTATGAGTTTTTAAATTTGGTTTTACGTTTTGCATGCCAGCCTTTTAATGAGGTTTTATAACGTTGAGTATTTTATAATGTATTTTTAATGCGCTGCAAACTGCCCAGAGAGCTTTGGCTATTGGGCGGCAGAGAGGTTAAATAAATAAATGGCTGAGAAGCAAAGGACTGCCCCTTACGATCCATTAGCCGCTCCAAGTGGCTGGTGGTGGGAGCCTGCAAGAAGCCCCACGCAGCCAGACAGCCCCACGCACAAGGGGAGGGGCGGCAGCTGGGAAGCCATCAAGTCCCTGCACAGAGGCACGAGCCCCCCCGTGCCATTTGCCCCACGTATGGGGAAGATGTGGGGAGGGGGAAGAAAATGTGCCCTTTGGATTTTCTGTGCTCGCCCAGCTGAAGGGGATGCAGCCACATCGCGTGTCTGGCAGGACAGCTACAAAATCTCCACTCTCTCAGGTTTAGAACACCAAGATCCCGAGCCTTCCCTGAACGCAGCCACCGACCTCACTTAACCCTCCTCTTAATGCAAAGCTGCTCTTCCATCAATGACTCGAGGCCCAGGGCAGATGGTTGGTTTTAAAAAAATAATTTAATCAGAGAAGCGCAGTGGAGCAAGGTCGAGAGGACCGCGCAGAGGCCTCTCCTGTCACATCCGGCTCTTGGCGCACGGCTCACGCGTGAGCCTCGTCTTTGCGGTAGCGAGGGGGCAAGATGGCTCCAGGACGCACGACAGGGGAGAGGGCGCATCTTCGCCATGGCAACAAGTGCAGGGCTCCTTCTCACGGAGGTGATCAGCCCCGTAACTGGACGTTCCCCGTTACAAAGGAAAGCCTACGTGTAGGAAACTGGCGCACCGGGAAGGAAAATGCCGGCCTAGCCTTCTCGCGGCTTCCTTTGCGTGCGGGCGCCTTCAGCCCTGGGAATGGCACTGCAGTCTGGAAGGAGAGCTTGGGACTCCATGGACTGGTGGTCCTGGAACACGAGGACAGGTATTCGGAGGCCAGGCAGAGGAGCTGTTGATGGCCCAGGGCCACCCCTCCCCAGGGCAGGCCTCGACTCTTCCTGCTGCAAGAGGGTTTGGGCACGTGAACAGATGCAGCAGAAGCTGATCTGGACGTCTGCGGTGTTTTGCAAAGAACGTGAGCGCCGAGGAGTCTCTGCTGAAGGTGCCGAGTACTTTTACAACTTCTAGGATCTTTCCTGTCAAGAATATTGGGAATAGCACATTGTCAAGGGCTGAGGGGTCTCTCAGGGGGATCTGTGGCCCTCCAACAGGATGACAACTGATACTGGGATGCAGTGGGGAAGATACGTCCCTTTTCAGCACAGAGGGGCCTTTGGAGCTGGCCTAGGCAAGCCGACCTCCACGAAGGGCCATGTCTTCTCGCAACAAGGGATACAGCTGTGGTGCTGAGCCAAAGCGGAGTCAGAGGCCTTTCAAACTCCTGGCAGCTTTCTAAGGAGACTATCCCAAGGAGTGACGGGACTGTTTTTCTTGAGTTGAACCGATGCATTAGAAAAGAGACCATCTGACGTGGACCAATGGACGCATTGTGGCTTAAGTACCATTTAGGGGCCTTTATGTACCCACCCGGCCTACTTTATTTAGGGTATGAGTTTAAGATGATCCCGCATCTTTCAAGTGTTAAGCGGCAGAAAAGTACTGGCGCTATGTTTTGGGCTGGGGCGGAAACTCTGTAACCAGCACCTCATTCAGCACCGTCCCTGTTGCTCCATCGGATGCGTGCGAGGAATGCCTCCGCTTAATTCCTGCTCCTAAACTGGGGAGAGAGGACGGCCTGCCAGAACCTCGTGTGAATTAAATATTTAGCATGCACCGGCTTGCATGGCAGCCTCACCCACAGGGCTGAGCTGCACCACCCCCTGCGCCACGCCAGAAAGGCCTCGATTCAGAAAGGAGAGCTGGGCTCGGCTCCAAGTCCCGGGCAGAGCCAGCAGGCACCAAGGCTCAAGTGCACTTCTGGGCTACCGTCGGAGTGGCCGCTGCCTCAGCACCCGCATCGAGAGGGTGTCTGCCCGCAGAAGAAGCTCGTTGATCTTGGCCAGGCCCAACCCAGCAACCTTGGCACCGTTCACTTCCAGGACCTCGTCCCCCACGCGGAGGAGCCCAGCATAGAGCTTCGCTGTGCTGGCGTCTGCCATCTCCTGGACGTAGAGGCCTGCCGAGAAAAAATAAATGGCACCCAGCATTTAGAGAGGGAAGCCGTCCAGAGAGATTCTGGCCACGAGGGGGAAAGCAGCTTCCCTGAAAAAATGGCAATTCGGAGGGAAATTGAAAGGTTATGCAGATTCTCTTAACAAACCTTACGTCTTTTTACTGCTTTAACAACATATAACTGGTAATTTATAACTTGTTATATAAAATGTACTATCTGTCATATGTACGACGGTTGCAGTGTAATCCTACGCATGTTTACTTGGAAACAAGGCATCCACCTTTGGTTTATTTTTGTTTGTACTATTTTATCCTGAAGTCTTTGTGGTGTATAGACAGAATACAGTAAATACTCCGTTTCGATTCAGTTTTGTTCCTCAGGACTGCACTGCACATTTTGAAGACAAGTAAGGGGTATGTCAAGCATTTTCCCCTCATAATGCCAAGAGAAGGGTGGGGAGGATCAGAGGGCGCTTACCCTCTCCTTGCTGACTCTCCTTCCAGCGTGCCCCAGTCTTGCAGGACAGGATCAGACTAAAAGCAACTCATCTTCAGGAAGACCCATCAGGGTTTGCGAGAAAGGAGCAGAAGGCCAGGGGAGTATTCGGCACAGGCTCATCTGCCCACCCTGCCCTGAAAATGCCCCCCGTATTCAAATTAACCCAAGGCATGTATTTCGAAAACTTGTTCACTGGCATAAATTGGGTTGGGGTGAAGGTTCCACCTCTGGTTTCCTGGAGCTGATTGTTGCATTCCTTTTGAATTCCCATCTCCTTTTTTCTGGAACTGCAAATTTTCCTAAATAATATTGCAGTGTATTTGCTGTTCATGCCAACACGTCTGTAGCAAGGCCTGTCCTGGTGCAGAGATTGGCTCTGCCGGCTACAGTAACTTTTCCAGACATGTTTTAAAAGTTTACACGCAAACCAAGCATTCAGGGAAGGGGCCTGTATCTCCGGAGCAACCTCGCTAATCCTGAAAAAAGACAGGCAGGAAGATTTGGGTGGGGCAATAGTGGCAGCTGGATTCCACAAGCAAGGAGCCACTTAAACCAGGCTTAAATGGTGCTAAAATTTAGGCAGAGGAAGGCAGATTCTGCACAGGCATGGAAGTGTGTCAACGCCATAGGAAAAGGGTCCAGTTAGTGTCTGCAGAGAGTTTTGCCTACACCAATTAAAGGAAGGTTTTACCTCTTAAATAACATCAACACTTCCGAGGAGAGGGGAGCTGGGAGCCCAGGCAGGTCTGATCTGACAGCACCCCAGCCCACCCCTAAAGGTTGCTGGGGTGGCGACAGTGCTGGAGAAGCCTGGGGTATTGCAATGAAAACATTAAATTCCGGGAACCAGCATGCTCAAGGCCAAGACAAACACTTGTCATTCCAGTCACAAACATTGCAACATTCCCCAGAGCTTGCCTGGGAAGGGAACCTGGAACATCTGCGTTCAATTACTCTTGGCATGTGACCTACTTTGGGACAGTCTTCGCCTAGAAAGGCGTGCAGCGGAATTCGAGCACAGCCATGCATTTAGCTGCTTTTCAGGCTCGGTCTTTCTCCCAGTGTTTCAGTGCCACATCTGGGGACAGCTCGACGTGGCATATGGGCTATAAGGGCTGGAGAAGACTGCTGAGGAATCGTTCGGCTTTCAAAATTGCATCCAATATTGACTTCCTTGCTAGGCTACCTGGTCTCCCTGCAGGCCATTTCTGTTTGCTGAAGCGTGCACTGGCTTGCAGAGGACAAATTCCTACTTAGAGGTAGCGCTAGGCTCAGGAAGGGCTTTCGGCTGCGGTCTTGACAAAGGGGCAAGCAGAAAGGCCGCCCATTCTTGCACTATGGAGTCTGTAGAAGCTTTTCCTAAACGTCCAGGGAAGAAATGAGAAGGTGGAATTGAAGCAGAGCTTGTAAGAGAGCTGAGGGGCTTGGTATTCCCTTGCTGTGAAAAAGCATTGTTTGCAGCCCTTCAGAAAGAAAGGACACATTTTCAAATCCACCTGATTCGGGAATCACAACATGGTTTCTGTGGAGGGCTGGTTCAGAGGAGCGGCTAGCAGAATGACTGCCTTGAGGAGCAAATGCTGGGATGGCAGTCATCGGAAGGCGGCGGCAACAGCAAGGCCAGCTCTGGCTCCTCCTCCTCTTAGCCAGAGTGGCACCACCGGGCCGAGCCCTCTCCTTGATGGTTCTCAGCAGTGCTTAGATAGGCTTGCCGTCTCAGTGAAAGATGCAAGAAATGAGCAGGGGGAAAAACAGTTGAGCAGAGCAGAGCTTCACTTCCAGCTCACTTCCAGTCCCTCAGCGAGGCAGCATGAAAGATTCCAGCATGGGAGCACAAGATGTTGCTGGCTTGTACTAGAGATGATCTGGCCCTTGAGGCCATCGCTGTTGTAAATTAACGGGTTCTGTGCATTAGAATAGTGCATACGAGCCCCAGTGGGAAAATAAGTATTTTAAGCCTGCATTGCATTGTCTCTGAAATGCTTGGTACAAATGATAAAATTAATAAACATCAGCCAGCATCCATTGAAAAAGGGGTATGGCAAGGGGTACCAGAAATACACACATCTGCATCTGCTCATCCCAGACGCAGTCTGAAAAGCGAACAGACGGGTCTTTTTTTCAGGATTTCATGTAACTCGTTGTACAGGACCTACCTGTATCAGGTCGGCCATTTCCCGAAGAGACACGAAATCCGAAGTTGCCCTGTGGGGAGCGCTGCAGCTCAAGTTGGCTCGTTCCGTCCGGGAAAACCTCTACCACACGCCCTACAGTTCTGGCCAAGTTGGGGGAGCCGATGTCCTCCACACTGAGGGAACGCCGATGTTGTGCTCTTGCTTTCCTGGGAGGGTGAGGGAGCAGTGAGACACACGCAAAACGAGCATTCCCTCTCCTCTGGGACAAAACAACTATATTCAGTGGATAGTAAGTCAATAAAATGTGGCGTTGAAGCCTAAGGTCAGGGAGGGAACAGCCACTGCACCTATGGGCTTCTAATGAAAGCAAGTTTCTAGCTCTCATCAAACTGAAAGGGTAGAAATAGGATCCAAGCATCAAGTGATCTGGATTCTTGCAGGGGAACCCTTGTAGACCAATTAAATAGGTGTGTTCAAGACCCACTGTGTCCAGTGGAGCTTTCTAGCAAGGAAATGTGTTGAAGCTTGCTGCATTTCCCACTTTGCAATTCTTTAATTCCCTGTCACTGGGCGTGACCGTGTGCCTCTGGCACACATCTGGCCAAGCCATGTATCGCAGTTCTCTCCCCCGCATCCCCCTAGCCTTTAACAAGGCAAACACAACAGTGTCGGAACTGCTTCTGCATTTGGATTGCTTCTCTTCTTCAGAAATTTAGCTGGCTCAGGGTTAAAATCTTTTTTATTGATAGTGAATTTTCTGGGGGTTTTTACAAAGCCACCTGATTTTCAACAGGAAGATGTGCCCTGGGCTCCATGGATACACCTTCGCTGTTGAGTATGGGGCTAGGAAAGCCTGGGGAACCTTGCAGATGTCCACACAAGCTGCCTTAAGCTGTAGCCCTGTGCACATTGTGGCTGGGAATGCTGGGACATGTGGGACTTTCTTCTGCTGAAACATGCATCGGATTGCTCCCTTAGGATTTCTCAGAATAATGTGTGATTTTATATTTGGTCGTCCACCAGGTTTCACAGTTCCCAAATGTCCTGAAACACACAAATGTTTCTACTACACGCACAAGAGTGGCACAGATAGGAAACAGGCCGATGTGACTATACCTGTATAGGGGATACACCTTTAAAATGTCTGAGTGTCCCCACAACACACAGAGAAACAGCCATTTGGTTCTCCTCTTCTGTGCTTATTGAAGAAAAGGTCAGCCCCCAGAACGCAAAAGTTTCCCTTAGCTTCACATTCACATGGCACCCACTTACAGGTAAAATGTGAATTGCGATAGCGTATGATCCCGCATCACGGAACCCGCACGACATGATAACCGCATTCTGAAACTGTCTGATTCCAGGAAAAAGGATTGACTAAAACCCGCGGAGCCTGCACGCGGCCGTTCCTGGGCCTCACCTGTGGGAAGCAGCCTCGGCATCCCCCGGTTCCCCCAGCAGGTAGAGGCTGGACCGATCAGCCTTGCCCAGCAGCGAATTCAGGCTTTGCACAGAAGAGGCTTTTCTTGGTTGGCAGAATGGTGCCACCTAGTGGGTGAACAGAAGCACTGTGGGTCAGAGCAGGCAGGAAGAAAACTATGTTTGGGTGAAGAGGAGAGCAAAGGTTATTTTAAACTCTGCATTTTCCTGATCCTGCTGAAAAAGGAAGAACACAGAAAGAGAAAATGCACACGGCCCCTCATCTAGAGCTTGGGGATGCCAGAGATTTCCAAGGGCTGTAGAATTTTTACCCACCTGCGGCCTGGGGACCCGCAAGTAACCCTATTGCCAGAGCCACGCCACATCAGGCTACAGCTGATTTCGGCATGCAATGCCAGCTCTCACCCCAGAATGCCAGGCACAGAGCAACGTGGGAGCACTTCTGAAAGGTGTCCTTCCACGGATGACTCTCCAGGAAAGAACTGGGATGGAGCCACGGAAGCTCACCCGTCCATAAGGCCCTGTTCTCTACAGACTCAGGAAGCCACCAGCAGAGTCCGTGGCCATTTCCAGTCAGCCGTGGCCACTGCACTGGAATATAGCAGTGGTCCCCTCAGGGTGCTGCTGGGCAACTCAAAACCAGTAAAGTATGTCTCGTCTGGTTTCCAGCCTGGACGAAGACAGAAATAGGCTGCTCGCTTGGGGGAAGGACGGGCAAAATGCATGGCCATGCCTCTCAGCATCAAAACCATGCTAAGGTTGTTGATCACGGTGTGCGCCATCTCTCTGGGAGGCGTCACGGATGCACAGCATCGTGGTGGCTACAGCCCTTCCGGCGGGGAGGACTTCACTGATCCCTGTAGCATCTTTGCCCTCCTAAGCAAGCATCGGTCCACGCCCCTCCGCTTAAGGCTGCGATGGAGGAAACCTGCCCATCTGGATGAAGGCTTGCAGTCAGTCTTCAATGGCGCAGCATTCTCTGGGAACCTGCTCTGGAGGTCCTCTGCAACGCAGCCTTCCCCATGGCCCGGGGAGTCTTCAGCCAGGGCAGCCGGGCAGCCAGCACTGCTCGCCTCCATCAGGCCTGCTCTGCTCACAGACGGGCTGGCTTGCTGCAGGGCTCAGCCCGTGGGGCTGCTTTTCCAGGAAGTGGCCTGGAACCGCTGGCCGGATGACAGGGATGCCAGGCCAAGAATCCAGAGCAGAGCACACCAGGACCGGAGTAGCTACACGGAGGGGCCACACATTCCTGGGTCCAACTTAAAGTGGGTTGGAACTAGGTCTCCTGAAGGATGACCTGCACCCACATGAACCTGCATGGGCATGAAGAGTGGCTCCAAAGCCCTGCTCTTTAACTCTCCATCAAGGTTTCCTGGACTGGCAGACACTATGGGCAGGTTCCTTTCAGGGGTGGCCCTGAACTAGCACTGCATAAACACTCATGGTGAAAAATAAGTGGCCCCATCTAACGGTTGGACTCTGCTGGCCTTGAACGTGCTGTTGATACTTGCACACGGAAGTGTATACAGGGGAGGATCCATACAGATGGATAAACCAGTGTTATTGCAGGACTTGCCCACCGTTACTCTCCAGGGAGCCACGTTTCCCCAGAGACAGCTTGAAAATCCAAGCACTACACAAACCACGCTGGGATGCTGCTGCCTGGTTTTATTTGGACACCCAAATCTGCCTCTTCTAGCAGGCACACCCTGTGGACTTACCAGCCTCAGGGACTGCAGGGAGGGGGCCTTCTTCATTTTGGGTGAGTCGGCAGGGCCCGGGCCTGGCTCCTCCGCAGGCACTGCAGCGCCCGACTCCGGGGCACAGATCTGCTCCATGCTGTAGCACCGGAACCTGCCCAGCCTCTGCTTCGTGTTCTGGCTCAGGGTGGTGAAGAACTTCTTCAGTCCTGATGCGGAGGAGGAGGAGGAAGCTCCTTTTTTGGCAAGCGGTTTCTTCTTTGGCTCTGGATTAATGTCTAGGGGTTTGCTGAAAGGCAAAGGGAGCCCACGTGGGCAGTCACAAGGCGGGCCTCTTCCTGATCACGGCACCCAAAGGAGAGCGTCGGATGGGGAAAGTCCTTATCAATAAAGTCACAAAGCAAGATCCAGCCTGCACTGGCACAGGCCTGTTGCACCAGAGGGATCAAGAGCCAGGCCTCTGGACCATGCCCCACTCTTCTCCCCACACCTGCACCAAAACCTGAAGCAGCACCCCTGCTGTAAGCCCTCCCCATCTTTAAAAAAAACTAAAGCAGACAGACAAGGAGTGGCCGCCACGAGGCCGGGCACCACCATTTTGTATGACCAGGAACAAAACTGGAGCGGCCAGACCGGTACGTCTGTGAAGACAGGAGTCGCTAGAGAAGACAATCACCCTAAGGAAAGTCAAAGGCGGAAGAAGAGGAAGTCCAAACCGGAGATGGATCGATGGGGAAGTTTGCAAGAGCGGAGCAGGGCTGTCAAGGGCCGCACGGCCTGGAGGGCTCCCATGCACAGGCCTGCCCGACGCCAGAGGCAACATGACAGTGCGTAACCGCAATGTCGGCTCCCCAGCAAGCACACGCTTGCCAATCCGCACGGCAACCTCTGCTCAGTGGCGCAGAGACCCTCCCTCCAAAATGCTCCCAAATGCCCCTGTCCACTTAGGGACTGCTCAGAAGAATTCCCTGCACAGAGAACGCCTTGCCTTTGGCGAGGCTGGAGCACCCTCAAAGCGCCCAGGTTAGGCTTGGGTTAATGCCACTCCCTGCTGGCACTGGCACCCTCCTCAAGCGACCTCAGCTTCAAAAAGCACCACCTGGCTGCCGGTTCGGAATTTGCAGCAGGGAACTGTGGGAGGTTATGCTGGAGCCATACTTCTCCCAGGATGTATGTGCACCTTCGCTTTGTCAACTGCTGCCTGGGTCAAATTAGTTTTGCAGGTTTCTGATTCCTGCACAACTTGTTGACCAAAGGAGGAAACGTGTGTTCGTTTCTAGGCACCTTTCATTCGGCTTTCCATCATCGCCGGCTCCCAACCTTGGCTTCCATCAGGGCCTCAGCAGCAAGGCAGCACCATGGAGTCAAGGGAGCTGGGCCTGGATGGAGACTCAGTGGCCGAGAAAGACCAGGAAGCCCCAAGGGGACCCCCAACCTGCGAAGTGGGAAGAGCTGACGACGTTCGGCTGTGCAAAAGAGCCCCCGTGGAAAAGCAGCTGGGGTGTGGAGCTCTGCACTTCGCTTGCAGGGGAGTGAAGCTCCCTCTGTCGTGGGAAACAGCCCATGACTCCTTTTGGGCCAAACACACGGAAGCGACGCTGCTTTCCTTTAGGGAGAAAATCCCGCCAGACACGGCAAACCTCTGGCCTACCACTTGTCCCTGGAGCCAAGCGGGGCTTTCAGGGAGGGTGGAGAGGTGGAGCCCCAGTCCATCCTCACAGCGGTTAAAGTACATACACACACGTTAATTGCTTACATGCAAGTAACATCACATTGAGACTAGCTCTCATATCCAGTTTCGTCATGCCCAATAGTTAAGTGCTCCTGCTGCACCTACTGGGACCAAAGATTTAAAATGCAACCAACTTCATAGACTGTGGTTTGGTGCTCAGGGCTTCTAAATATGCTCCTTCTCACATTGCACTGGCTTCACTTCTACACATGGGGATGTGTGTCTGGAGCGGCACCACAAGGCACGTAGGAAGCAATGCAAAACGCTTCCGGTCGCTGCATGGGGCGATCCGCATGCCCACAGCCAAGTGCATTCTGTGCTCAAGGTGCTCGCCTTTGAAATGAACCAGCCATCTTTACTTGGCTGGATAATCTCATCGGACTTTCCTTGGTGGTCCAGATCACGAGGGAATAAAAAAACCATTGCGCAAAACTTTAATCATTTACAGGAGGTGCACCGAAGCTTTTGTGGAAGAGGTCTGTGTTGGCGCATGCTCTGTCCTGTTGGGACACCGTTTCTTTTCAGAGCGGTCTGAAACGTTACACAGGGATCAGAAAGTTTGGCACGGTGACCTGCTCTGTCGTGAGCCGGCCCCAACCTGAGGGCTGGAGGAAGGTCAGGAAAAACAAACAGCCCCTCTGTTCTCATTAAAACTCACCTTGCTCTCTTCCTGGCCACCGAAAACCAATCTGAAACTTGGGCTTACACTGTCAGACTTGCCCTTTGCCAAGTTTCCCCTGAAAGGGGGATTCTGCAACGGGGTGAAGCCCCCAACAATTTGCCGATCACCTGTGTGTCCCAACTTCAGAAGACCCCCCCCCATCATTTCCTGACAATGTGCAGCACCCTTACTCACCGCTGGATCGTGGCTGCTTGCACTGGCGTGGTCTTCTGGGCCTCTGTTGCTGGAGCCTCCCTGCTGGATGACTGAGCAGAGGTGGAAGAGGGCAGGCTGGCGGCCATGGAAGCGCCGTTGCTGGGGGAGACGTGTGCTGAGGATGCTGGACCTACTGCAACCAAAGAGACACTTCCAGAGACCTTGGGGTGAATCTGCACCTTCCGCAAGTGCAACAGGCTTAACAGCAGGCACAAAGAACACCACTCCTGGTACGTGGGAAGGCTTTGCCAAATACCATTCTCTGATCTCACATGGTTTTTGGTTGCCAGGTCAGCCAGCCTCCAGATGCTGCTTTCAAATGCTAGACCAGGGCAAAATAAAGCTTCCCTCATCTATGATTCAACTGTGGATGAGGCCACCCATCTGGCAGGTATGACCAAGACCCTGGTGGGTGAACAGGGAGGAGTCGGTCTCTCCCAGCAGTGCTCACCAGGCTGCGTGGCGTGGAACTAAGGGCTGAAGAACGGGGGCTGCCGTGGTCAGTTAGAACTCGACATCTCTCTCCAGGTGCTCTGCCTGCTGGGCGACTCGTCCGGAGTGTTTGCACCTTGTGTTGGGCCGGCGGGACAGACTGGGGATTCTGCTGCTGCACTGCCCACCCCGTCACCCATCAGCCTCCCTGCCTCAGCAGAATATGGCAGCCAGAGAGTAACTGCAATCCAAAGATGTAAGACCAGTTCTGGCCCGCCTGCACTGGCTGCTGGCATGCTTCTGGGCTCAATTCAAGGTGCTGGTTTTAACCTATGAAGTCTTACAGGGTTTAGAGCTATGGTAGCTACTGCAGTGCCTTTCCCAACTACGACCTACCCAGACATTATGCTCAGCCTCTGCGGTCTTCCCCCAAGGGCCGACCCCACAGGATTTTGGAGGGTGGCAACGAGAGGGTCTTCTCTGTGGTGGCCCGCCCCCCAATCCTTAGAACAATCTCCCTGCTGTGGCCCACCTGGCACCAAATTTGCCATCTTTCTGGTACCAGGTCAAGACAGCCCTTTATGCAGAGGCCTTTCCAGATCTCCTTGGTCATCCAGGGGCCTGAGTGGATTGTCCAGGTGATTCTCCTTCCTTGCTCAGTCTTTTTTACTGTTCCCATTACTGCATTTTAAAAATTATTTTAAATTCATTCTATCGTTGTTGTTTTTATGGTATCCGTACTGTATTCTATTGTTATACAATAAAATAAACAGCTCACACAGCTTTGGCTGCAAGGCAGTATAGAAACAAGCAAGCAAACGTTGTATAATTAGAAATCTGCAAATTTGAACGTCTCCATAATTCATCTAAATGCCTCTGGGAAAGGGCACTGTAGATGTGTACAGCCTGGAACGGAAAGTAGTTCTGGAGAATGTATGCGATGTTCGAGGAATGCCTGTGGAATTTTTTAAACTGCAGCATCATGAATGAGCTACCCAACCAATATTTCATTTCTATACCACAGGACAGCCGGAGCTCTCGTGGACGTCTACAGCTGTTCATATGACAGCAGAGGTGACATTAACTTTCAAAGCTGGATTTCTGGCCTTTCCGTTTGTAGAAAATGCCAGAAATAGGTTAAAAGTCAAGTTGTAAAAATAATGAGGAACAGAAACATAGAGAAAGAATCCCTGTCTGGAATGTTTTGATTTTACTTCACAATATTCCTCATTTCTAGAGCTTCCATGTGAAGAGTTTTCTAAGGCACGTCCCTGTGGTTTAACAATGGCTAAGCCCATAAAAGCAGCACACACACTTCATAAACAGGGAGCACACAACTACAGAGCTTTCCTACACAAGGATGTATCTTTTTTTAGCTTTGTCACAAAATTGAGGTTTCTTTTTGAGCAGTGCTCAAAATAATCTCTAGGTGGCAGTGTGGTAGGGTGGAGTAGCACAATTACACAAATGGAAAAAGCATTTGCTTTCACTTTCATAAATAATACATTTTCCTTACTCTAAAAAATAACTTGCAGAAAGTACTGTTTAAAAACAGAATCCAAACTGGAGGGTCATGACACCATCTCAAGAACATGTAAGCAACCATGAGCAGGAAATGGCCAGTGCACAATAAATCTCTTGGTAGAGAAAAACTGTTAAGAAGCAGAAGTACGCAGCTAAGTAACCATGAGTCTGGAGGTATATGCGCACTATAAATGCCTTTAAAAGCTCCAAGTGTGCAATTTGGTTGTGGCTGTCAGGCTGACGGCGTCAAAGCTCTGCTCACTGTGGACACAAAAGAACTGCTCTGGCAGCTGACAAAAAAATCTCTGCAAAGCTCTCCCTCCCACTGAACAGAGCTCATTTAGCTTCCTCAGAGGAGCAAAATCAGCTGTAGGGAATTACTTGGAAAGAACAAGCCCCAGTGCAAACCTTTTCAGCCAAGGATTTCTGAGCATTCTCTGGAAAGGCTTGGAAGCAGCAAACAAGCCCACCCTGAATCAAGGTGTGAGAAATGTGTAGCCTTACTTTAGTTAGAGAGGTGTGAGGAATCCAAAGGGGGAGGGGGGATCCAACGGATTTGCATGATTCAGCCCCTCAGATTCCAGCTTGTTAACTCTAACTAGCTGGTAAAAGTTGAGACAGTTTGCAGAGGACTGTCTCTAAGATGGACCATGCCTCGTGCATTTACTTTTTGTCCGAATGACAGTTGCGCGGACAAGCATCCCCAAAGCAGGTAGCCCTGACATGACTTGTGCACCATCAGCTAGTTTGCGCAATCAGAGTTTCATACAAGTCACACTTAGAAGCATGTGGCATTTGGGTACTTATTTGTGCAAATGTCATTACTAGCTAAAAACAAATTTATAAATTGTGGTTGCAGAGGCAAAAGTCTGCAAGAAGTCTGAAGTGCAGTCACCAGATGAGAAGTGGCCACAAAATCCTTCGAGCTCAAACAAGTGGACTCTCCCTGTTTTTGGAACATTCCTAGGGGAACGGAGTCTGTCAAGTCTGGCTTAAGCTTATCATGTATAGCTGACCTTAAAGCCTGGGGAAAACCCCCTTCCAATTTTAAGAAACTCTGACCTTACAAATAGCCTGCGATCTATTAACTTTCCATCCGAACTCAGAAAAGCCAGGTGCCTAGCAACCCTATTCAGGCATCTCCACTGAACATGCAGGAGTGCGGGGAGGACTCTGCCAGTCCTGACAGATCCCATGCATCCTCCCTGCTGTCCCTGCAGCCCCCCCCCCCCCATGTTTTGGGGGCTGACAATCTGAAGAGGGGAGACTTTTCTGCCCACATAGAGCCTTAGTTCTGGAATACCAAACTGCACAGGAGGTCTATGAGATTAGAAAAGGCTCCCCCATTGCAGATGTTTAACAGGGACATGCATGGACAACAGGTAGTGGGTGGACCTGGAAAGAGGGCGATGGATTCCTCTTCATTTTGAAGAAATCATTCCATCCAGGAAGGCATTCGCTTTGCTCCTTGGTTTTGGGACTGGAATTGCCACATCGAGTGCCACATTCAAACTCTCTTGCTAGGAAGCTTCCCCAGTGCCCCCCCCCCTTCGGTGTGTGCCAAAGGTCAGCACGATCTCTTACCTTGACTTCCTGCTGTCTTCAGACCGCTCCGGAGCTGCTCCTCCGGGCCCCTCACGGCAGCCGTCCCGGGAGTCTGCAGGTGGCACTTGGACTGCGTGTTGTTGCAATTGTTGGTGGACAAGGCCAGCAGCTGCCGCTTCGACAGCACCTTTGGACTCTGCGGGCCGCTCTGCTCCTCCAGCTCAGGCGCGCTCGCAGGATGGAAGCTGCTTGGAGAGCCTGAATGAGCCGAGGGACCGAGGGCTGGCTCCTTCTGCCCCAGATCCCGGTGGCTCAGCTTGCAGCTGCCTGCCAGAACAGCCCGCCTGTAAGGCACAGGGGACGAGCGGGCTTTTCTGGTGGCGGGCGGCATGGGCACTCGGTCCATGAGGCTGCGTGTGGCAGCCACCTGCTTCGCTGGCTGCCTCGGACTTGCGCCGTTGGCCGGCCGGTCGGTATGGCACGAGTCCTCCTTCCGCCGCCTCTCCACAGAATCCGCTCCGCCACCCAGGGCCAGATGAGAAGGCACCTCCTGCATGTGGGCCGTGCATGAGGGTTCCCTCAACGGAGCTTTGGGCACCTTGGCATGGCCTTCCGTCTCGCCCGGTGGACGGAGATCTGAGGGCCGACTCCGCCCGGGAAAGGCTTCTGCCGTGTTGGGGGCGACGTGGCCCGCCCGGCCCCAGGCCGCGCAGGCCCCCTTCGAGCTGCCGTGGCCTGCACTGTGGGTGCCAGGCGTGCCATCGCAGGCCTCCTCCCCATTAGCCCTGATGCGGCTGGGCTCCCGGTGCCTGCTCCCCTCGGCCCTCTTGTTCCGGGCTTCCTTCTCCGGAGGACCAGGCCCCCCGTGCCCCTGCCTCTTGACCACGGGCGGCCGACTGCCAACACCAGCTTCTTCACTGTCGGTCCTGCAGCTGTCCGACGTGTCGGTGGCACTGTCTAAAGCAGAGTCGACCTCGTCCACGCACGTCACTTCTCCAATGTAAGTCTCTCTGATGCGTTCCGTGCAGACCCGCTGCCGAGAAGGCAGGATCCACAGGGGAGTTACTTTGGGAGCTGCAGTCCGCGTCCGCGAGTCCTCCCGGGATGTGCCGAGCTCCCTGTCTTCGTCGGCGCGACCCAGGTCCGTTCCCTCGTGAAGGGTGCCGCAAGCTGGGTACGCGTCATTTCCAGTTTGGCCTACTCCCGTGTCTGGCTTCCCGCCGGCTGCCCAGTTGCTGATGTAAGCCCCACATGCACTGCACTTCCCAGCCTCGCTGATCACGGCGGCCTTTCCTTTCTCAGAGCACCCACCGTTTCTCGGCGGGGCAAGGGTTCCCGCTCCCCGCCCGATACTCGGTTGCTCCCAGCCAGCTTTGCTGATGCCGTTCTCTCTGTGCTGGGGGTCGCCGTTGATATAATTTGAAAGATCTGGCTTGGAGGCCAGCGGGCCCCGGCCCAGGGATAAGAGAACAGAGTCCAAGACCCGCCTCTGCCGTTGCTGCAGCCGCTCCAAGTAGCGCACCTCGGCATCCCGCGCGGACTCATCCTCGAAACGCACCCGGGAAGGGGAGGACCCGCGCTTCCTCTGCTGCCCGCAGCTGGACTCCCCGCTGGACGAGTCGCTCAGGTTCCCACTGGTGTGGGCGTCTCCATCCTTCCGGGCGAAGTTCCTCGCGTCTGCAGCAGAGAGCCCGCAGGCGTCCCTGGGGAACAAGAGGGCGTGAGGACATGTGCCTCTGCCCAGCCGATCACCCCTTGCTCCCCTTGGCCTGGGCAGGGGCAGCACCTGGCGTGAGGGGCACCTGCTGGGGCCTAGCGAGGAGCCAGGCCTTGGGGCACTGGCCATCCACTCTGCCAGGGAGCAACAGGTGGCTATCATGCAGCCTGACTGCCTGGGAACCCATCCTGCCAACAGGAATTGGACACTGAGTCCATCGGGACCTTCACGCTGTGCTGCTGCCGAGTCTTTAAGACAGCAGGAAGCAGCACAGAGAGTCTTTGGAGCTTTGCTGAATAAAGAGGGTCTCTGACTCTCAAGGCTGGACAGCATCTGCTGGCAAACTGGCAAGGTGGATTTAAACATAAAGCAGAGGACGGTGCGGGACTGCACCAACATGGTTTGCAGTCTGCACAGCAGCTGCAGAAGCAATTAGGTGATGCTGTTAAGCAGGCCTGACTCAAGTCTATCAGGATGAAACAACAAGAGCCGGTCTCTAGTAGGCCCACCACCCAGCTACAGGCCAAAGCCAGCTTTCTAGATAATAAGCATAGGTAATTATCTGTAATACAATCATTTGCTTATAATTATCCGGACTCACCCAAAAATAAATGTGGAGAAGTATAAATATACTTTCCATGTGTCATGGGAAGAAGAACAGGGTCCAAAAGCCCTTTTGGATGAAATCAAAGCTGGGGTGTTCAGAAGGAGTGCATTTTAAAAGAGTCTGTTGTGATGCATTCCTGGAAGGCCTCAGGTTAGTCCCAGAAGACCCCTTGCAGGAACAGAAGTGCTCCTTCCAGAGACTGAGAACCAGGAGAGGCTCCCACCAGGGGAAAGTAGGGAGAGGTGATGTTCCCCCATAGGCAAGGAGCTGCAGCTCAGCGGTTGGACTCAGGAGGTCTTCAGCTTGATCTGCAGCATCTCCAGGCAGGGCTGGGAAATCTCCAGCCGAAACCCCAGTCAGCTGCTGCCGGTCCATGTCAACCACACCTGGCCAACGGTCTAACCGAGTGTAAAGCGGCATCCCATGTTCCCTTCTCCTGCAAACCCCCGTCCCACCTCACACTCTCTTCTGGAGACAGGCTCTCACGGCCACCTGAATCACGCTGATGCTCAAGAAAGCTTTGCCATCATGTGCTCTGACACTCAGCCCTGGCAGTCACACAGAAGGAGTGCACGCCCAACAGCCAGCTTTCCATCAAGCAGACACAGAAAATCGTTTCCTGTGCAACTGGTACTAATATACTTCCTTTTCCTCCAAAGAGCTGAAGGAAAAATGGAAGACAGAACGGCAGTGTGCATGGGGCAGGGTATGTTTTGTGGGCAGGGCACTGACTTAAGATGTCCAGATTTACACAAACAGGGGCAGTCAATATTGCCTTGGAAAAATTACAGGTGAGCCTGAGTGCCAAGACCTGCATGCTAGGACATGTCGCATTTCTGCACCTCCCTTTCGGGAGCTCTGCAAAAGCTACCCGTATGTAAGCAGTAAGGAAGACGAACATGTGCACTGGGCACCGGAGAGAGAAAAGGTGACATCCCATTCCAGTCAGAGGATGAATATACCAGCTTGCTTGGCATGAAAACAATGCGTTCATAGTATAATCCTGAAGTCTATTTCCCATAAACGGCAGTAAAGTGCCACACATTTTTTGAAAAACAAACATAATCTAAAATAGCCATAGGTGTATTCATCCTTTATTCTGAATCTTATTAACAAAACAATCGGTCACACGTCATGGTTAATCCTTTCTAACATTTCACTTTCGTTCTGCGGTTAGGGTTGAATCAAATGTCTGTGTTTAATTCCTTAGACCTACACACATTCCTGCCCCATGAACCTTTGTGTAATTTCCTGGAGTGCTCTCCTTGTTTGGCAGGTATGTTTATACTTGCAGCGGGCTTAATTCCTCAGTTACAAATAGCTTTAGGCCGACCGCCTGGCAAGATGAAATACGATGAGTAAAACGCTACACATCTAAGGGGTGGGGGGTGACTAGTGGAATTAAGCACAAATGTATACTTTGTATACAGCAAATAAGCTCAATTGGAATATTTTGTGCTGTGGAGCGGGGGAGGGCGGGGAGGCAAGAGGGTGGCTGGGAGAAAAGAGACAAGTGGTTTACAAATGTGAAGAACGATAGGCAAGAAAAGGAATGTAGGCAAGGAAAGCCAGGGCTCGCACTGAGTGCCACACAGAAGAAACGGATCTTAAGTCCGCTTTCCCTGCTCTCCTCCCAGGACCAGAGTGCTGGGGACAGCAGGACCAGCACAAGGGAAACGGCTGTGCTTACCTCCTTTCCTGTGGGGCAGGAGACAGGATGTGATGGCTGGCGCGGAGGGGGTTCGTCCTGGCCTTCATGCGAGCCCTCTGCAGCAGCTGCTTGGCCTGCTCATGCCGGGGACTCAGCTCCAGCTCCTGCTTGGGAACAAAGGCCCTGCAGGCCAGGGAGCAGGGATTAGGAAAAAAATAACAAGGATTAAGAGCGGTTTAACAGTGACGGCGGCAGCTTGGTGGGGAGACAGCACGCTCGCAGAGGCCGGGTGCGCGCGCCCGCAGAAGCCTGGGTGGACACTAGGTGGCATCTCGCCAAGCCAGGAGGAAACAGACTGGCAGCGGGCAAGGCAGATGCAAGGAATGGCTCCTAGGCATGCCTGGGACCAAAGTGATCGGGGCGAGCGGCAAGGAAATCCTCAGGGAAGCCAAATGGTTTACAGGAGGCAGATGCCAGACACCTGCACCCTGCAGATTATGGCCGCCATTCATGAGTACAGCAAAGAAAGGAGGGGGGGTGCTCAGGAGCCCATTCAAAACGGCCTCCTGGTGACGCTGCGTGGCCATGCTTGCAGGAAAGAAAATGGAGCAGGGGGTGCCAATTCTGCAGTGCACCGTCACAAGCAAACATAGATTTTGCAACCTTTATAGGTAGGATTTCTAGACTTATAACACAAGGCCACATATCCTAACAATGCTTTCTCCTCCTCTTTCAGCAAAGTTACATGAGTGCTCAGATGGAGAAAAAATTCTTCAAGCAGAGTGTAACAGATTGTTCCCAGCACTGGTAGGAAGGGTGTGCGTGTTATACAGCACAGATGCTCTCACAGGCACAGTCGTAGATGCCTACAACAGCTAAACACGTGGCGACTGCATACACGCGCCTGTCAAAAAAACCATGGACAGCATGTCCGAAAGCCAAGTTTCGACAGCCAGTGTTCAAATCTCCTTGTTCCATAAGGTCAGTGGCTCACATGTTCCCCTTCTCTGAGCACCTAGAAACTTGGGAATGGCTGGAAAAGTGTGAGGAACCAGTCACTAGGACAACCGTACAGGATACACGCAACAAAATACACGCAACAGCTCTTCTAGGAGCCACCCTCTTTCATGAGCACGGGTAACTTGCTGCTTTGGTTGCAACTTACTAGGTTGCTTTTCTCACTTTAGTAGGGAAATGAGGACACCCTCCCACTGCCCTGAATTTATCAGCTCTGGAATCTTACCGGTAGCCTTCAGAGTCCTGTAAGGAAACGCCAGAATCCCAGTCTATGTCATTTGCCAGAATCTCTGTAGGTACAAGAGGAAAGACACGGACAGATACTTTTAAGGCCCATACTCGCGTGAGGTGCAGCGGAACACACGAAAACACACACCAGCTCTAGCAGAGATGCAGCTGCTCATGTCACCCCCAGGTCTTGTTACGCAAGGCCCAGCCATCACGTCTCCAGGCTCAGTACAAACAAGCAGCATCTCAGAAGGCCCTGCCTGTTCTGAAACTCTGGAGCACTGGTGCCCCTTGCAGTTCAGTGCCTTACACTGCCGGCAGCCTGACTGGCAGTACAAGATGCAGTATTACGAGAAGGTGGAGGAGTATTTATACCCCTCCCGTTCCCAGTACTGGGACTCAAGGCAGCTCATAACATTACAACTTATACAACTAAAGCATTCATAAAAATATACAATAGTTGAAATACAATTAAATCAATAAAGCATCAAAATAATTTTAAAAATCCTAGCAGTGGGAGGCACTTCAAAAAGTAGGGAAACCTTGTGCCCTGAGGCAGACTTATCCCTTTAAAATGTGAGCCCTGGACCCTCACCTCGATTTCCCCTCAGGTTTTGCCACTTCCTGAGGTCCTGTCCTTCAGGTACATTACAAAACTGAGAGACAGTTGGGGCTTCCTAACACCCCCAAAACCCGTGGGGATCCTGCTTGGAAGGGGGAATTGTGCAGGTGTCCCTCAAAACTTTATTTTTTACAGGTTCTTGGAGGTCCTTGTGTCTCCATGTTATACACACTCAGGAAAATGATAGCAGCCTGGGGCCACAAAAGCACCCCCCCACCAAAAAAAGGGGGGGGAATAATGCTGCAAAGAGTGGTTTCTACCCCCAACCTTTAAAAAAATCAATCTAGAAAAAAATAGTGTACTTCAAACTCCAGTTGGCCACAGACACTTGTTGGCTTGGACACAGCATCCAGGCAGCTAGCTTTTGTTTTGAAATGTGTGCATGTGTAGAAAACAGAATCTTCAGAAAGAAGAAAGACACTGAGGAATCAGGAGCTGAAGTCTGGGCCATCAGAGGCAAGGACTAACGGGTGATGCTGAAGTCTGGTCACATCAGACATGGTGGAAGAAGATGGCTCCTGCGGAGTTTGGGAAGAGCTCGGCTTCACCTGGTGCCTCTGGGTGAAGCTAATGGACATGGGTGGGGAGGGGTGAAAGGAATGGCCAGAGCTCCTGCATCCTGTCTTCACTCCTCCCGGAGGCAAAAAAGAGACCGAAGCCCTGCGAGTTCAGCTCAGACCCTGGTACCTAGCAAGCCCAGCACGTCAGAACCTGCAAGATGCTGGGGAAAGAGGAAGCAGGGAGCGATAGACACGGAGGCCAAGTTCCAAGTTTCCAAGCTCACTCCACCCCTAGAGCCCCACTTGGCCTCACACGCACGTACCGTTGCTGGGCCCATCATGCCCATGGCCTGCGGTTTTCTTCTTGTGGCAGTGCAGAGCTTGCAGCTCCCGTGAAGAACGACTAATAAGCTGCGATGCACTCAGTATCTCCTGCAGCACCGAGCGGTTCCTCTCCACCTTCTCCGCCAGGGACAGGCTGCTGGCGTTGCTCCCACCGCTGCCGAGACTGTCCCAGCTCTCCGCCCGCCAGAGCCGCCTGGTGGCTGTCACCCCACAGGGGTCCTTCTTGTGGGCAAAAGAACCGCTTTCGAAATCCCTTGCCAGAAGCAGGTGTTCTTCTTCCCCACCATGTGCTTCCTCAAAGTATCTCTGCAGGAAGGAAAGGTCCTTCAAGGAGCTGGCCCCATAAAGACCATTCTGGGGTGTCCTTTTGGCCGTGCTGCCCAAGGGGCCCTTTCGGTCAAGCACGTCCCTTGGCGGAAGCCCCTGGAGCTCTTCAGGGGAAGCCCAGTCGAGGCCTCCCGGCTCCTCCGCTGCTCTAGAACCTTTCAGGGCTTCGAAATCACAGGCGGAAGGGCTGCCAAGGATGGCTTCCTGAGGCTCCTCCTCTCTGCGAGTGGGGTAGTCGGTGCTGTCCAGCAGCACATCGGTCAAGTAGGTGCGGATCTGGGCTTGTGGTTCCACCACCGCATCCTGAGCAGCCGGTTCCACAAGCAGCTTCCCCTTGCAGGCCTTGGCCTTCCTTGGAGACACTTGCTCTTGAGCTGCCGCCGCCGCCGCCTGCCTGTACGCAGCACTCCGCCTCTCCTTCAGAGCTTTAACCTTGGACTCCAGGACAGAGATGCTCTGGCCTGTATCCCCCGACGGCCTGACTGGAACCCAGGCTGGACCACTGAGGCCATCTCTGCTCACATCCCCAGAGCTCTCAGGGGCCTGTCTGAGTCTGGGGTGGTTTCTGACACACTGCCTCAAGTCCTTCATGGCCTTTCTCCTCTCAGCAGGGAGATCCCCTTCCATGCTGCCAGCTCCAGGTAGAAGGGAACCTTTCATGGGGAAAACAAGAGCAACAGTTCAGAAGAGCCCTGCTTCAGGGAGCATTTGCCACGTTCAGTGCATGCTACAAGTGGTCCATTACAGCGCTCTGGAGGGGGCTGTTTATGCTGCACTGAAAATATTAATGCTTGTCTAAGGCAACCACAATCCTGCGCAAATGATATCTGACTTCTCAGCTAGTGTAAGTTGCACACAGTAAGTATAGTTGAGTGTTTTGTTAATTGTACATTAATTGTAAAAAAATATTATTTTTTCCTTAACCACACAGTGGGGAGATAATTCTGTAGAATATTAATTGTACACCGTTTATTATTTTTTCCTTAATCACACAGTGGGGAGGTAATTCTGTAGAATATTGAAGACTGCAACACCACTTCTAGAGATGCATCTACAACATGCTAAACTAAACGTCTGCATTCACATAATCCGAATTTTCTGCCAAGCAAAGCTGATTTTTGCAATGAATACCTTAAACAAATTGAACAATTACCAATTTGGCATGATATATTCTGTGAATTTAGTATTCCAGCTTGTTCCTAACCACCAAAGGTGATGATTCTGTAAACCCTTTGCTTCCCAAGTCAACATTCTTCTAAGAGTAAATTTGAGGCTACAGGAACCAGACATGCTCTTATTCTCAAATGAAAGCAAAGATGCTCAGAATGCTAAATTCTGACAGGGTTTGCAGCTTAGGAGTGCTCCTCGACCCTGAGCTGTCTTTAGAAGCTCAGGTGACGGCAGTGGCGAGGAGTGCCTTCCTTCAGCTTTGGCTGATCCATCAGCTGCATCCCTTCCTGGAGAACGACTGCCTGGCGACAGTGACACACACGTTGGTTAACTTCCCAGTTAGATTTCTGCAACGCACTCTACGTGGGGCTACCTTTGAAGACAGTCCGGATACTTCAACTGGTGCAGAATAGAGCTGCCAGGCTGCTGACGGGGACTGGGCGTCATTCTCATATAACCCCAGTTCTCCGTCAGCTCCACTGGCTCCCGATTCAAGTCCGGGCCCAATTCAAGGTGTTGGTTATGACCTATAAAGCCCTCAACGGCTTGGGACCTGGATATCTAAAGGAACGCTTGCGCCCATATATGCCCTCCCGCCCCTTGAGATCAGCAACGGATGCCCTTCTCCGGGAACCCTCTGTGAATGGTATTAGGAGGGTGAGTACCCAGAGGAGGGCCTTCTCTGCGGTGGCGCCAAATCTATGGAATGCACTCCCCAGAGAGGACCACCTGGCGCCGTCATTATTTGTTTTTCGGCGCCAGGCTAAGACCTTTTTATTTAAAACTTATTTTAAGTGTTAATTTATTGGCTATTTGTAGGATTTTAAAAAACCCACCTGATAATAAGTCACAGTAGATTGGCTGTTGTGCTAAAAGGGTGCATGGATGCATCTGTGGACTGGATGAGGACTAACAAATTGAAGCTCAATCCAGGCAAGAAAGAGACGCTGTTAGGGAGTGGTTCCTCTGACCAGAAGGAGAGTGCTCAGCTGCTCTAAAAGGAGCTGCACTCCCCTTGAAGGGGCAAATTCATAGCACGGGGTCCTTCTTGAGTCCTTTCTGTCATATGAGGCTCAGGTGGCCTTTGTAGCACGGAGCGCTTTCTACCCACTCTGGCTGCTGGCCTGGCTATGCTCTATCTGGACAGGGATAGCCCAGCTTCAGTGATCTATGCTTTGGTGAGCTCCACGCTAGACTACTGCAACACCCTGTGTGTGGGACTGCCCTTGAAGACTGTTCAGGTACAGCAGCTTGTGCAAAATGCAGCAGCCAAACTAATGACTGGGATCAGAAAGTCCAAACATGTAACACTAATTTTATCTCACTTTGGCAATCTATTTGCTTCTGAGCCTTGTTCAAGGTGCTGGTTTTAATGTATAAAGCCCTACACAGCTTAGGAACACATTATCTGATGGAGCACCTCTTAATGCCATCTTCCTGACCACCATGCTCAACATCTGAGGCCTTCTTCTGAGTGCCACTGTGTTGTTGCCAATCTTTTGTATATGTGTGTGTGTGTGTGGGGGGGGTGTCCCCTAATGCATGCAAATATTGGAACCAATCTTTAAATGTGGTACTTTAAAAAAGGTTATCTGGAGCCTTTCTGCATCAACGCCCTTGACTGGTACCCGCAAGCCACAGCTTAAAGAGGCCCAGTTCCAATTCTTGAGCACAGCTTTGATCTTACCACATTTTCACAAAGCAAGATGTCATCAGAAGAATCAAGCCAGCTTTTGAGAGGCCGAGTGTTCCAAGTTCAAGCCAGATTTTGCAGTAAGAATGGAAAAAAATTAGTACACTAGCACTTCCATGCAAAAATTGTGTAACAACTATCTTCTGAAATTGGGGGATAGGAAACAGCATTTCACAGCCATTCTGGGAAGCAGCTGTGTCATGCCGATTGTCCTGGACTTGTTGCAACCTGGGCGAAGCCACGGGAGCAAACGACAGTAGAAAAACCCAGGCTGCATATAACAACCAGCACATGGTTGGTTGGGGCCACACTGCTTCCCACCCACTTGATACTTTCCATAACACTTTTGTTTAAGGGAAAAAATTAGAAAACACAGGAATACTGCATCTACCACTTGTTCAATATGATGTATGAACCTGAATCTATGGCTTGCCAAGGGGAAAACAGTGCAGTGTTTTAAACTAACAACAAACCAGGGGTTAAAACTCTTAAATCATTCCCCCCTCAGGAACCCAGAGAGCTGGGTTCCTAGCCTGCTCTTTAACCCAGACAGAAAGCTGGAGCAGCAAGCCTTTGGGAGCTATTGTTCCATGTGAACTGTACATAAGCGCTCTGCTGTCTGAAACACACATTTAAGAAAAGCTGCCATTCAGATTCTTACAGTCCAAACGCAATCCCCTTGTTGAAAGTTCAAGAGGAAGAGACATGGCTGATGCCAGCAGAACAAAGAAAGAAGTCATCGCACTGCTGAATTCCTCACTGCTAGAAATGGCCAGACAAGCCCTCAGTTCCAAGGCTGAGTGTAAACAATTCTTGTTCTCCACTTTGTCTGATGTTACTTTGGATTGGTACCCTTTCATTCTGCTTTTATCCACTGGCATAGTTTTCAATGTGTTTATTTATTTAAAGCTTTTATATGCCATCCAATACTAAAGACTTTGAACTGCTTACAAAAAACAAAAAATGAAACAATTTATTATACAAATGAAACATCTCTGGACCAAGCAGAAGAGGTGATGTCGGGAAACATAACTCTAGAAACATTACCCTGTTTCCCCGAAAATAAGACACTGTCTTTTTTTTTTTTTTTTGCTCAAAAAAACACATTAGGTCTTCTTTTCAGGTAGGTCTTATTGTTTAATGTACAAAATGTACATTTAATGTGCACGCTTCCGCTCTGCACTTTGCTGCTGGGCACGCTTCTGCTCTGCACACCTCTGCTCTGCACTCCAACTGCAGCCAAAAGCCATATACACCGATCCTCTCCAGCGTCTGCTACCTGTACTGCCACAGGCAGCGGAGGAAGCAGAGTGGCATGAGCCGATGCTTCCTCTATAGTGCCGGCTCCTGTGACAGGCGGCGTGCATTGGATATCACTCCGCCCTTGACAGGAGCCAGGACTATAGAGGAAGCATCGGCTTAAGCCGCTCTGCATCCTCCTGCTGCGCCCTCCGCACCCTGCTAGCACTCTGCAAGTAAGCCAAAAAAGTAAGACCTATTACCAATAATTTTTGGTAAAAGGTCTTACTTTCGGGGTAGGACTTATATTATAGGGCCTACCCCGAAATAAGACTAGGTCTTATTTTTGGGGTAGGTCCTATTTTCGGGGAAACACGGTAGTAACAGTGCGGATCTGTTAGGAAGACTAGGTGTTGCTTGCTTAGATGAAAGCAATTGCTCTAACACGGGGCATGAATCTGTCTTCTGTCACACTGCACACATATTACCTCTGTGGTCCTTCCAGGTGAGGACCAGATACCTGGCAGGACACAGTGGAACAGATAATGCTCACTTGCCAACATTCAACTAAGGTGCATTCACATAAGCAGCACATGCCAGGCCTCTGTGCAAATACCATTTAGCAAATCATGGGCCGTCGAGGGCAAAACTGTAGGCCACAGGACCTTTGGGTCCAATGATGCCTGGCTGCCCTGGACTGGCTGAGCAGCAAAACATGGGTGGTGCATCAGGGATTAAGCACAGCACAGAAGCAAGACCCAGAAACTGGCTCCTCGGACAGATTCCAGAAGCAGCAAGGTGTGAAAGCGCCGAACAAAAATTGGGCAAGACAAGCAGGGAGCATCCCAGATCTGAGACTCCAGGAACAGCAGCCCCTACTCCTGTTCACAATGTGTCTGACCCATCCATCCATCCTCCACCACTTAGAGGGAAGGGAGGCGGTTGCCCGTCAGGGCTGGATCCAAAGTTCGGCAAAGCGGGTCGTTTGCCTGGGCCCCATCCAGGCAATGGGTCAGCTGCCTGGAAAGTGAAGCGGTTCTCTCTTGCGCAGGGCATTACAGGAAGTCAGCAGTGTGGGTCAGAGTTCTGGGAGCCTTGCCTGAGCCACCCGCCTCTTCCAATGCTCTGGTTCCCAATACTCACCAGTGAGGAACCCGTGCAAGCCACGGTCATGCGCTCCAAAGCATACTCACCCAGCCTTCTAGGACCAGCACCAATCCTGCTCCTGAGAGCGGGAGGGGAAGTAGGGGGCACAGGCGCCTATGCCGCAAGCTCACCGTTCGGGGACGACGTTCGCTGCTGGGTCCATCCAAGCCCCGCACAACCCCTTGGCGGGACTGCAGCCGAGGAGCCTGGCGGGGCTTTCACCCCATCGCACCGAGGCCGAACCGAGCAGCCCGGGGCGGTTCATGCGGCCGCACGGCTTCGTGGCCCCAGAGCGCGGCTCCTCTGCAGCGTGGCCTCCCCGCCGCCTTCCGCCCGGGGCGCGACGGCGCTAACACGCCGCGACAGACGCCTCGGCACCGGCCTCTTCGTGGGCCGCGCAGCTGCAAGGGCCGAGCGAGCCCCGCGCCGCCCCCCGATGCCCAGGCGACGGCTCCCGGCCGCGCTTCAACTGCCTCTTAGCAGGCGGGCGGCGGCGGCCAAGGCCGGGCAGCTCAGCGGCTCCGGAGGAAGGCCCGGCCGGAGTCCCACACCCGAGGAGAGCCCGAGGCGGGAGAGGCCGCGCCCGCTCGCTGCAGCAGCCTCCGAGCCTCACGGCCTGCGCCGGGCCGCAAGGCGCGGAGGAGGGACCGCTCCCCGCAGGAGCTGGAGCAGCAGCCGCGCTGACCTCTCCGCCTCCGCCTCCCGCTTCCCCCGCCGGCCGGCCAACCGGCCTGCCCCTGCTTCCCCCGCCGCCAGCCGTGCTCCGGCCTCCGCGGCTGAGAGCCGCATGCCCGGGAGCCCAGGCCGGATCACGCCCGCCCGCCGCAGGCCCGGCGGCCGGAGGGGCCCGCGCGGTCGCCATGGCGACGGGCCATGGCCGCGAGGGCGCCGCGGGGGGACAAGGCCCGATCGGGGCCGGGGCGGGCGCTGCGCGAGTCCCCCGCGCGGAGGGAGCAGGCCGGCCGCGTCGACTCGGCGCTTGGAGGCCGCCGGCCCCTCCTCGGCTGCCGGAGGGAGAGTCGGAGAAGGGACGCCGGCGGGAAAGGGGGGAGAAGGAGGCTGGGCGGCCTCTGGCTCCCGCTCAGGAATGCCCGTCTGCGGAGACTCCGTTTCCACAGACCGCTGGCGAGGACTTCAGGCGCGTTCAGCCATCGGGGAGAGCCCCCGGGGGCCCGCAGAGCTTCCCCGGGGGCTCTGAGGGGGCGAGCGGAGCGTCCCGCGGGAGAAGAGCGTTTGTGGACCCGGCAGCATCCCTCCAAGATGCGCGGGGGGAACGCCTGTGTGCAAGAGGGTGTGATTCCTGCAGAGCTTTTCCAGGCTTGCAAACGCCTCCAGACTGCCTGAAGCGGGGTTTATTTCACGCTATTGTATTATTTAAATGAATGCGTCTGTTCTTATGCTACTTTGATTGAAAAAACGGTCAAGGCAGCTCACAAGCCGTCCAGAGACTTTTTTTTGATATTGGACGGCCTATAGAAAGTTTAAATAAATAAATAAGCTTGTGAAAACAGCAAGAAAGTACCGACAAGTCAGCAGTAAAAGAGACAGCAGATAAAGTCTTTGGCTAACAAGTTGGGGATGTTGGGATCAGTGGCAGACATGCCACCGCCGGCCCCCCAGAAAGGGGCAAGAGGAGGCCTCCCGTGGCACGCAGCTTCCGAGCAGGGGTGCCAGCTGCCGAGGGCAAGAGCCCTGACTGACCCCCTTGACAAAATGAGAACGAGCGAACAATGCACCCCTGAGCGGAAAGACGCGAGTCACCAGCAGGCATGGCAGGGCAGCAGCAGAAGCGGCACAATGAACGGCAAGACATTATTGAACCTGCCCTGTCCCAGTTGGAGCCTGGCAGAATCCAGCTTTTCAGACACCTGTACAGATACTTTGCTGATGACACACCTTGTAACTGACCCTAGGCAAAGGTATCTTTTTCCCAAAATTGCTCCTTTGCTTTTGCAGTAATGGCAGGGTAGGTGGGATAGCATCCTATATTCACTCCTACGCAGATAAGAGGATGGTTCATATAATGCCCAAGCTCTCTGGGCAGTTCCCAACAAACTATCCAAGTGCCTTTGAGCAGTTTCATGCATGTCACCTACATTTTCTTGTGAACCTTGAAACTACCATGTGAAGTAGGGAATACTACAGATTGGGGTCTGGGGAGAGGCTGAGAAACTAGCAATCATTATTTATTTACAGTACTTACATGATGCTATCAATGACAAGTCCCTGCCCCAAGGAGTTTACAGGGTAACATGTGATGCAGAGGAAACAGTAAGGGGAAGACAGGCTTAAACTGGGAAGGAATATGAGGAATATGTGTGAGCTCGAGCGTCCTTAGAGACTGGGTTATCACAGGCCATGGGAACTAGGGGTGTGTGCCAAAGGCTTTATGGAGAAGGGGGGTTAGCCCTTCACAAAGCTCATAGCAGAGACGTGATTTAAAACCAAGGCTGTCCTGGTTCCAAGCTCAGCATCTCTCCACACCACTCTTTGGAAAAAGCAAGGGATAATAATGCAAGCATTTGTCACAAGGAATCTAAATCATACCTGCAGTTCATCTTAGCATGGCTGTACCTGCTTGAACAAAGACCTGCTACCTATTTCAAAGGATATCTGTTTAGGACCCACTTTCTATTTTGTTCAAGTGTCAAAGTGGACTGAAGGCTACCGAAAACTCATAGAAACTCAAGCTTACCATTTCATACTAAAAACTATCATAGTTGGTCATCACCAGTTCATGTTGCTTAGCATATTTCTCCTGCATTCTGATACAACGTCTAGTGGGATATATATTAGGGTCAGTTGTCACCTTGTCTAGTGGAAAAGATACGGGAAGATAGGTTTTTTAATTCCAAAATTAATTTTTTTGTGTAAGATAACCTGGGATAGGGCAGGCTAAAAGTATGTTTGTCTTTAAAACTGGGATTGCCCTATGCAATATTAGGTAATTTTATTACACTATTATGTAGGAATGCGATTTTGAATTAAAACACTGTATAGATTACACCAGAGAATGATGTTTGTGTAACACCAGTTACATATTTTACTGCTTAAGTCCTGGGATCAATAAAGCCACATCTGCATCAGTATGTTCTTAAGGTTTGCCACAGCGGACAAGCTCTGATCCAAAAATAATGCTGCATGCCTTCTCAAATCCCTGAGAAAAAACAATTCAAGCAATATTCATTCTTGCCCTTGGCTTTGGAGTAAATGGAGCAAAATACGGATGTTTTTAAGAAGCAATTCTTACCTGAATAACTACCAAGCAGCCATCACTGTAAAACAGCCAAATTGCTGGAAATGGGAGGAGAGGGCAAAGAATCCCACCAAATGACATGGAAACCGTCTTCCTTCCTTCTTGTGGTTCTTCATTTTTTGTCTGCTGCACCCATCACCACAGGGCATCTGTCCCACGTTGCTGGTTAAGCTGCAGCTTTTGATATCCATGATTGGTTTCATAATCCCGATCAAAAAAGGAAATCGCTGGGATTATGAAATGGTTTTAATCCGCCTCTGCCCCATACATGGCTGTTGACTTTAGCACACCAGGAATGCAGTGCTGAGGTGCTGCCCACCAGCTGGGTGCTCCAAAAATGTTCCCCGATGAACCAGCATGTTCAGAGATGTCCCCTCAAATGCTATTAGAAATGCTTTTTCCTATTTGCTAACTGCCGTGGTAGGAAAATAGAGTGTTTCAATTTCCGGTGCTCAGCAGATTTTGCAAATCTCATCAGGATGAAGAAAACCAAGAACTGATTTGTTACTAGAATTCGCGCAGAAGCTATTTTTTGACATAGGGCATGTGTGCTATTCTAATGTGAAGGATTATGACAATGTTGGGAACTGCTGTTGCTGTGTCATTTAAAGGTGGCACAGTCAAAATCGTTAGTTTGCCATCCGGTTAGAAAAGAAGAAAGCACCCAAGGCATCTGTTTGGCTGGTACCTTCCAACTCTACTATGCTATGATTTTATGATTCTGTGGTTTTACAATTCTAAATCATGCTGAAGTAAAAAAAAATCACCCTAGTGAAGCAACAAAAGTAAAAGACAATCCAGTACATTTTATGGCCCCAGGGTAACATGTGCTCCTCGGCCCAGTTTTGGACTCTGTAACCAATCTGTTCCCAGCTTTGGCAAAATTATGACTGTGCTTGCACAGCCCACTGAGTGAAGGAGAGGAAGAAAGAGAGAAAGAAAAGGCAGATGGCAGAAAGACAGAAAAAGTGGCATGCTTGCTTTTGGTTCTGGTCTGATCTACAGCTGGCATGCTGCCGCCAACAGATTATCCTTCAGGGAATGCAGACTTGAACAAAAAGGGCTCCAGGCCCCCACACTACGTTGCCCTCCAGAATGCCTGAGAGTTTTGTTGTGGATAGCTTTTCAGAGTGTGCTGCATCGGTGGTTGGTGACTGGGGTTTTAAAACGTGCCCATCATGAGCTAGCCAAGTGACCGAAGTTTTTCCTCCCTGTGTTAAATGAAGGCTGCGCACCGCATCTGGACACTCACCGCAAGTCACACCCCTTCACCACTGAACTTGCCACCCAGGCCATCCCACCCTGCAAGTTTTGAGGGAACCAGGTGAGCAGGAAGGACATGCATTGTTCGCAAGCCGGACCGTGCTCCCAGCAGGCTCCCGGGAGCGTGATTCTGTTCCCAAGCATGCTGCCACGTGCACCTTGTTTTGGAATAAAATTGGCCGTTTCCCCACCATCGCTCCTGCAGCAGCGATGGCTGCAGAGAGCACATACTCCCACTGTCCACCTCCGCCTTCCTTGACTAGACGTTTCATTTACCAATCCCACCATGACCCAATCTTCTGGGAAAGTGGCACTAAAAGAATGGGAAGCGGTTGCTTCAGGAGACAGAGCCAGGTGCAGGTCGGGGAGTGCATTAATTTCAGCTGGGCTTGCGCAGCGGAAGAGTCTGTGTGAAAAGTCAGGTCTCGAGGGTCAGTGCTTCTTGGGCCAGCTCTGCTCCCTGGGGCCACTCCAGATTGATTCAAATGGCAAGCGAGTCCACGGTCTGTTTCATGGGGTGAACGCTGCCATGCTACAGGTTATGTCCCACTGTGCCCATGGGGACGCTTCCAGCCCGAGCTGCAGGTTGGAGGTCTTGTGCACCCGGGGCTGCTTCGAGGCATTTTTCTGCGGCGTCACTACAGCTTGGGACCCAGTTACCTTGCTAGCCACACAATTCCCCCAAAGGATTTCAACGGACCACCAGATCCAACTGCTCTGCTGCTGCTTCCGGTTTGCCTCCTGTGCCCAGTGCGTGCTGAGGAGCGTGAATGGCTGCTTTATTAAAGGAGCAAGCCAAGGCGAGAATGGCGTCCTGGCCCAGCTCTTGGAAGGGGTTCTGTTTGCACCGAGTGCTATGTCATGCGCCACGTTTGAGGGAGCCAAAGCCTGTCCCTGCTTCCGACAGGTGTCTGTACGCACATTCCCAAACACCACGTTGTTGCGCTTGTGTTTACATAGATTTTGCTGTTCTGTGCCATCATCGCCAACTTACTGTGGCCTTATGAATGGATACCCTCCAAGAGGGCCTGTGCTTCCCACCCTGCTTCGTTTCTGTAAACTCAAGCCTGCAACTTCCTTTATGGAATCAATCCATCTTATATTTCATTCTCTCTTCTTCTGCCTTCAACTTTGCCTAGCATGATAGGCCTTCTCATGATGCGCCTCATTTTTGTCGTTTTTGCTTCCCCGGAAAGTTTTGGCTTGACTTGATCTAGGTAGGACTCACTTTTTCATCTGTCAGTCCAGGATATTTGTAAAGCTCTCCTCCAGCACCATGTTTCAAATGCAGTAATTTTCTTCCTTTTAGCTTTCTTCACTGTCCAGCTTTCACATGTACTAGGCAAATGTAATCTTTGGTATACACTATATTTAAGAATCAGTTATGATTTAACGTTTAACCTTCACTAAGAACTCCAAGTTCTTTGCCAAAATATAGGCACTGCAGGATTTTGGTGTTTGAAAAGTGCAATAGAATAAGTATGAATGAAGCTCAGAACTAGCTATGCTAGTAAACAAATGCTAGTAAACAAAAGCAGAAAGAATATGTTGATCAAAGGTTTTTGGAGCCAGTTCTCAGCTACTACGTCTTGGGAGAAGATATTGCCAAAGTACATTGGTGTGCTAAGTCACGTGGCTCCTCCCATGAGGCATGCTGGATTCAAAGGTTATGTGAACAGCATTCACGAAATGCAAAATGTGTCAGCTCAAAACCTCAGAATTTAACCTTACCAACATTTTGTTAAAAACCCCACACATGGTGAATCATTATTGGGGTGTGCGTGTGTGCGCAGAGTCTTCTGAATTCACAGAACTGTGTTTGGAAATGTGCATGTCTTGTGCAAGTCTTATTCCAACTACGTAGGGCTTGGTCCAGAAACATCCGTTCCCATGTAGATCATGCCCAATGCCTCTGTGTTCAAGAATGAAATTGCACAGCTGGGGCTCATGTGAAGTCCAGAACAACAAAACAGGCAAGAAGTCATTGGAAAACAATGCTTGTAATAATGAAAAAGACAGATTAATAAACCAATCACTTGTTGCCCTTTTAAAAACACAAACCACATTAACTTTTTTATACAACCATCTAGGAACTATGAAACAGTACCACATTGTGCATTTTAAACCTACTTATCAAGAAAGTTAATTCCACACTTCAGAAAAGTCTTATATCCATGGGGGGGGGGGGGGGGGGGGGGGGGGGGGGAAGGGAGGAGGAGACAGCGAGTAGCGCAATCACGGAAACACCATCGTTAAGTCCAAGCAAGCAGCAAGTCTTTGTCCTCACCTTTTCCACTGAGCCCAAAGAAGAGTGGAGAAGGGGATAGAGAAAGGAAGAAAGTAAAGAGAGAAGCACCACAAGAGGACTAAATCACATCGCATAGTTACTTTTGACACCTACAGCTCGGGGCTCCATAGTATATAATCATTACTGAGACCAACACACTGGAAAGGAATGGGAAAGAGGACGAGGTCCAAGACAGCGGCAGGGCGAAGGCGAGCGTGGAGAGGCAAGTCCAGCGCTGCCACCGCCACCACCAGAGGAAACCACGCGGAATGAAGTGGAAGGCGAAACAGGGCGGAGGGGATCTATGGTTCAGAATGCAAAAAGGCCCACCGTGTGGCCTGCGCAGACACAAGAGGGATCGCTTCTCCTGGCCTCGTTCTCAACCCGGCAGTTCCCCTTGCCCCCGTCTGCTCTGGCAGTGCGAGCAAAGGAAAGGAAGGAGTGGATTCCCAGCATCAAGAACGTATGAGACTAAGAGCAGAATTTACCGAAGGATGCACCCTCCACTCAGGAAATGTCAGAATTTGATACGGTATTAGCGGCACAGAGATAATCCTTCCTTTCCTGACCCAAAGAGAACTTCCTCCTGTTTCAGGAACTGGAAGAGCCAAGAACTCCAATGCTTGTTTAAGGCAAAATGATTCCTTCTGTAGCATAGTCAAGCAACTGTTTGCGGAAGATGAAAAAAAAGGAAGGGTTCCAGATGTGGTGGCCTGATCCAGCTCAGCTGTTGTACTTTGGCCGCTTAGAAGAGGTAAGGGCTGCCTTACCTGGGCAAGCCACACAACAGGACAGTGGCGTAGTGCGTTCACAGCCTGCCTTCTGCCCCACTGTTGGCGAACACCAGAGGCGTGACCCTCAGTTTTAGTAGGGCCTAACATCCAGGCATCTCAATTCATACCTTAGCAGCTTTGGCTTTCTTCATTACTTTCATGGGATTGTCATGCGAAATTTATGTTGGGCACAAATCTACCTGCCCCAGCTGAATTATCTCGCCTCTAGAAGACTAGCTGCAGTGAAAAACCGTGGTCCTCACTGGCCAGGTTTCCATGCGAGGGGAACGGCGTGCGGGAATGGCACCATGAAGCAAACCTGGATCACGAGTGGATCCGCTGCACCTTTTAGAGAGGTGCGTCTGGATCAGTGGCTTTCAGTCGTCTTACTTCCCAGGGAACCTCACAGCTAAGGGGCTCCTGCACACCACATTCTTAGGATTACGGTTTACATACGGTGCTGGCCCAGCCCTTGGCCTCACTCTAACATATAACACTGCTCAGCAGCAGTACATGACACGAATAATTATGGAGACATGTTCTTCATGGAAGTGTGCCTGCTGTTATTGATTGCAGAGAGGACCTCTGGTCTCCAGGAGAGCCAGGGTTCCTAAGAACAGTCTGAAAGGAACTGATCTGGATAAAGAACCCTCCCCCCACTGCACCTTCCTTCAGGTTGGGATTGTCCTCAGTGTCAAAGGGAAGTTCAGCCTAACTCACGCTAGTGAGTCATTCCTGCACCTAGAGAAGCACAGAACAGCATCTGAATATAGGATTGAACTTCCAGCATCATTCTAAAAGCTGACTATCTTCCTGAGGTACCCACTTGCTTGTGCCAGTCACAAACATTAAACATAGTAAGCAAGGTATGAAAGGATTATCCAAATATTTCTTCAATTCTTAGTGCTTTCTGAAACCTGGCAACTATCATAGAGGACAGAAAGCAGTAGCATTCCTTTTGCTGGAGACAAAACACACTTTCCTCCAGAGTGTGTTCAAACCTAAGATAGGAGGCAACGTCTTTCAAAAAGGAAAACAAAAGTAGCAGGGCATTTCTGTGCATCCTCACAGAAGAGGGGTCTGCAACCTTCTTGGCAGAGGGCAAAAGCTGCCATCCTGCTTTCCTCTAAGATAGTTGGAAGGGCTTTCAGAGAGGTGTTGCTTTCCATGCAGTTCTCATTCTTTTCTTTTGTCCCACTGTTAACTCAGATCTAACAGGTTTTAGAGAAAATGACCATAAAAACTTGTAAAAGTTGCATACCAGAAGTAGAATGAGGGTACATACCCAAAGCAAAAACCCTCTTTCGAACCACCAGCTATGGCAATGGCCTTCTTCCTCGCTTTCACGCCAGAAAACTGTCTTGGGGCTGGCCCAATATTCCACCTTCCTGTTTGAAGCCTTTCAAGGGATTCAAGGAATACTGTTTTTCTAGTCGTAAGAGAGATCATTATAGGATGGATTCCAAATCTGCATTGACCATCCACACTAAAAATATAGGAATTATGTTTTCAAAGCATTTTCAGAAACTGGAGTGACTCATTTCTAGAAACCTGAGGATCTTGCCCATAGGTTTGAGAATAACTCTGGAACAGATGACTCTCAGTATTGTTGCGAGAGTAAGTCCCTACTTCAGGTTACATTAAGGAAAACATGTTATTCAATACTAAAACATCCATTCTTTGGACCATCCACATTAGAATGGAATAGCCAAGCTCCCTGGAGATAGTTGCAATCCAAAGAGCGTGGAGTTTCATGGTAAAACCACCATGTCAAGCTCTGATAGCAGTCTTGTTTATTTTTGGTTAAGAACTGCATCCATGTTGGAGCATGATGATTGCTCCTCTGTAATTCTGAATCAAAGAACAATGTGGGGCCCACAAGAATTGGAAGCGCTCCCCCGGACATCAGGGCTAAACCAGCAGTGCATCCCGGCTTGCAAAGTGTCGCAAAGCTGGAGACCACAGCTGCTTTTCCAGTGTGTCAATGGTGGAACGAAGCAGGTATTGTTGCCTGCAGCGTACACACGCCATCCTACGCTCGTCTCTGGTAAGCATTCTTTCCCTATTTTTTAATTCCTCACAAACCTGTTTCACCAGAGGTGACACTGCGACAAAACACACTAAGCTCTGCATACAAACGAAGGCAAATTATGCTTCTCCGACACCCCTTTCTGCCCTGTGCGTATCCACCAGCTGTCTTCAGCGGTGGCCTTTCTGTTCACCCCCTCGAGTTCACTGGCTGCTGAGATTTGCCACTGCTCCTTCGGCCCAGCCCTCATTAAGTCCAATTGCTCTGCCACATTCCACCTTTACAGCCTGTATCAATATTTCCAGCAGTGCATACCATGTGGAAGGTGACACCTGATTTGTTCAGACTGGGATCAGGTGGGCAGGTTGATTCATTCACTCCATTCAGCTTATCGAAATGTACAAATAGTTGCCATTATCTCACCAGTGATTAGCAGTTACCAACCAGAACGCTGCTTATAAAATCTATTATTTTCATGAACAAAATACAAAAAGCCCTTGGAATTAATGAACGAAACAAGAACTCTTTCAGTATCTTAATCGTTTCTTAATTGCGGACACATCATATCTTGTCTGAGAAAAAGGCATGGCTCACTTGGCGGTACCTGGGCTTTAAGATTCTGTCGCTCAGATTCTTTCTTATTAGTGACAAGTGGCTCTTGTCGCAGGCCAGAAGCACTGATAGTGCACAGCTCCAAGTTTTGTACCGCCACCAAAAAGTTTCTCCAGGTCTTCCATTTTAATTTTCCTGTAGTTGTTCTTCAGCAGGTCTCCTGACAGTGCAAGGGGCTGCAGCCCAAAGACACACTCCATGGCTATCTTGCCTGTCCAAGGATTGGTTTTGCACTCAATGTTTTCTGCTGAATTATTTTGCTACATTTAAGAACAGATGTTGGTCTCCAGTTCCTCAGGGCTACAGGCACATTACGCATACTAAAGCCACAGTTGCCCTACAAAATAAATCTTGTGAAAGGCTTGGAAAATATGAGGGAAAGAAATACATGATTATGAACTAAGTTGGGACATGATAATGAACTATGACCATGAAGGAAAGAGGTGAAAGGGATCCTCTTTGCTTAGAAGTGTGTCTCTGCTCTGCAAACCCAAGAAGGCTCCACAGGAGAAATTAACTAAGACATTTCTACCAGAAAGCCTAATAAAGACACATCACAGTCCATGCTGTGAAGCCCTGGATTAGAGACAGAGAAAAGGAAACCTGAAGTAGCTTTTCCCACTACACGGTGTTGACCTCACATATGCACACACGGTGTAACAGAGCACAAATAAAACTTTGTTTGCTAACATTAAGCACAAATGCTTGGCTTACACAACAAAAGCTTGCGACTACGAGGGGTGGGTATGGTCATCTTAGACATTCATGCTGCTCTATCCTACGGGCTCTGGAGCCAACATGTCTTTTTTTCTCCTTTAAATCAAGCTGGTGATCTTTTCTAAAGAAATTGCTAAGCAGTGTGACCATCTACCAAGTCCAATTAGCAGTGCCATTCATAATGCTTGTAAAAGTCAGGCCTAGCACTACGCTGGAAAATTAGGATCCGGGGTAGATAGGTTAAAAATAATTAAAAACAAAAGCTAACCTGAGGATGTTCTTGGCCAGTGATTGTCAGACGAGTCTTTGCCAAAGTAAGGCAAAAGTTTTTTTTATTATTAAAAAATAAAATAAAGAGCCCTTTCTATTGCAATACTAACTTCCTCAGTTGCACTGGAGACTAGCTCCCAGCTATGACAAGCGTTCGTGCGTCTGCCTGACCGCCCCCCCATGGACTGATGAAAGCTTCATCTTTTATCCCCAGCACGGCAGGCTATTTCCTCACGTTTTCTCTCTATGATCTAGCTGAAGTAAACGGAACAATACAGGAGCTCCTGTGGGGCTGTCCTAGAGACTCAACTCATTAAATGAAAACTGTCCTTAAGCTACAAACGAAGTGGGGGTTGCATGGGTGTCTGAAGAACTTCACGGGATTAGTTCTAACGAACCTCGCTCCATTGGAATACTGAGGCGCACTGTTTGCACTATTTCTGCGCAGCTACAATACACAAAGATGATCTGGCTAAGGAAGGTGCCCAGGTGTCTGAGGGACCAGCAGCAGCAGCAGCAGCAGCAGCAAGTAAAACCCACTAGAGAAACTTTGGTTTAAAATAAATCAAACAGAAGAAGAAACAAGCTAGGTTAAACCGGTGCAAGTTCTCTCATCAAAGAGGTATTTTGAAGGGCTTAACCACGCAGCAAGAGAGATCCGGGATCAACATCCCCCTTCCCCCACCGTTTGCCTTGTTTTTAGAGAGTTACCACCTCCATTGCACAGGACTCAAAACCATTTTCATATGGTTGTTAACTATCATAAATAATGTGAAAACTATGTGCAACAAATACATCATATTTCCAAAAAATTATAAGAAAGTTACATCAAATTAAAAAGTAGCTTCGTGAATGAAGGTACTGCTCTAAGTGCACTTTCCCGGCAAGTGCAGCCAGTGCCTTGGCGCTGGATATGAAGGAAAACACCAAAAACCAGAGCGCGAGCCAGAGTTAAAAATGCAGGTCCAGTTTCAACCAGTCAAAACTGGAGTGAGCAGAGACTGAGTGAGTTCTCGGTAGAGACCCATGAGGGAGTCCCGATGATGCTTCTTCATCCAGATTATATGTCCTTTTGGAGATTGTAAACAATCTTTTAAGACAGATCCTTCCTTAAATGTCCTTCTGATTGGCAAAATGAAGTTACATTTTTTATTTTAAAAACAAGAAATCAAATTAAAACCAGGAGAGAGAGAGAGAGAGAAAAAAAAGAGAAAACACAGTGAGCTTGTTGGAGTCCATAGGATCCGGTCCGGAAGAGCTCAGAAAGTGTGTTCAGATTTTTCTCCTGTTTTCAGCTGGAACTATGCCAGAGGTTGGATTGGTTAGGGGTGGGTGTGGGGAAGGTAGTAAAGAAGAGATCACAAGGGGCACAGAGCATGGCTCTGTGGGTGTTTCATGTGTTTGCTTCATCGTCTGTGTCTTCTATTAACACCTTGGTGTCACGAGACTTGGATCTGGGAAAACATAATATTAAGACACAATATTAAGATGCTGAAGAGAAAAAAAATGTTGCCACACATAAGCGGGGCCTAAGATAGAAGCAGAGTCCTTCCAGCGCTGCAAATGAATCTTTCGGGAACAGATGCGATGCGGCAAGTTAGCTGCACCCTCTGCTGGGCAACCGCCAATACAAGGAAAGCTCACCAGACCAACCAGTGACACAGAAGTTGAGGCATTCATGAATTCAGTGTTGCTCCAAAGAGAAAATGCTCTAACCAGACCATAAGATGCTCATCAGACTTAGAGTACTCTGAGTAGCACTTAATACCTGCAGTACTTCCTCCTTCCATCTTTTTAGCATTCTCTATGCCCCAGGTATGAGGCTGTCATCGTGAGAGGAAAGCAGGACCACTTCTCCCAGACCACTGCCCTTTGTGCCCGTCTCATCTCTACAACCACATCTGACATTGTACCTGTGTGGAGGTGAACCTGGCCAGATCTAAATATATTTGGCTCTGGTGACTGGGAAACTACACAACCGCCAGAACCAGTGTGAGCTCATCTCTACAGTCAGCACTCTCAGGTGGAAGCAGGTTGCAATCAAGTTACTCCTGTCCAGCTGCCAAGTTCAGCTTGGTCCTGGGAGGGCGCTGGCATCTCCTCTGTGAGCGCCTGACAAAAAGGGGCGGGGAGATGCAGGTGTCACACAAGTTGAAGCCTCTGCCCTGGGAGTCAGAAGGGGGGCATCCTGTTAAGGCAGGGGGCCTCATGGGTGGGACACGACCCCCTTGTCCAGGAAGAAGACTCCTCCTTTGCTTTTAAGTCAATGCCCAGACTGCAAGCCTTTGTTAGGAACATTCATGCCTTCGCTGCCCCAGAAACTCTGCTTGGACTTGCTCCTTTCTGAGCCTCCTGCAGCATTCTTCACGGGGACTCTCCACTCAGTCTGGACTCTCAGCTCTTCAATTTGTGCTGTCGTGAAAAGTCCTGCTCTGCTTTACAGAGAACACGAATTCTTGTTGGCGATGGATTGCAAATAATCGTTGAGCACGCCGGGTTGCCAGATGGCTTGGACTGATCCTGACTGGTCCACGCCTGGATCCATGTAACAGGACTTTCCCAACAAAGCTTTCAAGGTCAGGCTAAGCTCTGCACATGTGGATTTTTAGGCCTTTCCTTAGAAGCCTTGCCTTTGCTGGGGAAGGCCTACCCCAGGAATCATTCAAGCCTCTCACCTTATAGTCTAGGCGACAGGGATTACAGTGCAGAAACTTAATTGTTTAGATCTCTGAAACGGCTAAAGGTACTCGTTTTGCCATGGTGAGGAATTACTTATGAAGTATATAGCCAATTATGACCAGCTCTATGATTTCTGAAGCAGGTAACCAGTAAACTTTTACCATGGTGTTTGCTGCAATAGAAGTCTCACTGGTTTGACACGTTTTGTGTCAGAATTCTGAAGTGTGCACTTGAACGATCAGGCCTACAGCCTTAACTATATAAAAGTGTTGTTATGGACAGGTTCACATAAGCCTAGCTGGTGAATAAACCAGGGTGGGTGGGTTGTTCGCTGAACATCCCATAGTGTGCCTGATATATGCTTGGCTTAGTGTGAGTTGCTCTCCCCCTCTTTCCACCTCAGAATTTATCCAATTCTGGCATAAATTCCAGAGTCCTTCCTGACGTAAACTGTCTTGTCCCTCCCTCCACATTCCAACTGTTACCACTTTTCATTTGCTTTTCATTTTTTTTTTCTGTTTTCTTTTAGATTCTCAAAGCCTTAAAAAAGCACACGTGGGAAGTTGTTTTTCCTGGCCCCTGTCAACTGTGTGCATGTTTTAATTTTTGTTGTCGCTGGCCCTTTGCAACTGCAGACTTACAGCTACCTGATATGAGTAGTCCTGCCAATGTCTTTGCCTGTTCTAGCTGCCAAGAGGAGGAGAAGGGGCGACTGCGTATCGGCTGGCTTGTGCACAGTTGCTGGGGGCCGAGTGCGCAGCTGGCAATGAAGAGGCACAAGTGGAGGGCAAAAAAAAAGATCAAGAGGTGCACAAAAAGTGGGTGGGGCATTTTCATCCTTTTGGCAACCCAATTCTCTCAACGTTAAGGGTTGAACTGACGCTTCTCAATCTCTTCCACCTTTTCAACACTTTCCTACCTCTCGGAAAAGAAAGATATTAACCCCATCTCCCTTTTCAGAGCAATTACTGCAAACTGCCTCTTCATTTTCTTTTTCCCTGCAAATGCTCATGAATGGGAGTGGCCAGCAGATCCACCAATGTACTGCAAGTTCATCAGCCGTTTTGGCTGGACCAGAGTCTTCTCAGTGTCCCGCATCTTTTCCACCTTTTCCCAAGATGCCAGGTGCTCAGGAAAGTATGTGCTGCTTCTGCTGCAAGAGTGTGAAGCCTTGACAGCTGTGAAAATACAGGCTCTCTTTTAAAGCAGCTCTTTGACAGGGACATATGCATATGCCCATGTGCCCATGAAAAGACCCCGATTAGCTTTGTCAAAAATACCAATGTACAAAAGAAGCTGCTCTCCTGTGAAGAAGATGCAGGGCACTGATAAGACTTGGGAAGAGCCAAAAAATGGTACAGGTTCTCACCACAAAGGGGCTTATCTACTGGCTACCCTGCTTTAAAGAATTAACCTTTTTGCAGACTCTTTGGATGGCTGCCTGCTGCACTTTGATAGCAGATACCTCTCAGGACATTATCCAGGTGAGACTGCCCATTATCGGCCCAGAAAGGCATGCAAGTGCAAACCTGTGCAAGTCTGAATGCATTTTTAATTGAGAAAACTGTACACCTTTGGGGTACATTTCAAAAGATGCACACACAAGCGGTGATGAACCAGTGAGAGCCCCTTCGATAGGCTGCTGGCGCACTCCGGAGGGGCTGCAACTGGCTACTGACTTGGAATTCAGCAAAAAAAAGGTGGGGAGGGAGAAAAGGCTGTGAGTGAGTGACAAGGGGCCACCAACTGCAGTGCGGGCGCCGAGCCAGCAGTGACTGCTCCGCTGTCTTGTCTGGTGGTGGGCACTGGGGGGGTGGCTGGCACTGGGCGAGCGCAGCATGAGCAGCCATGTCACTGGACTCGTGATGGGGCAGTTGCTCAAGCTTATGTGCCACCACAACCCGCTGTGGATCCAACAACCCGTACAACAAGCCACGGGTTGTCAGGGTGGCTTGTTATCCACAAACGGCCAGGCGTCTGGACTCCACCCAGGCTTGCAGGGCATGACACCCCACCCCCAACGGCTTGTCCCCCATGGCAAGTTCTAGAATCACGAGAACTCGGTCACGGAGTGAAAACGAAAGCTGCACCAGCAGACGCCTGCTTGCAGCGCATCTTCCCCGTCCTTGTGCTGCAGCCACGCAGCCCCAGGCCTGGTCTGGAGGCTCCTCCAACCCTCTAGAACAGGTCTGAGGCATGTGCAGAAGACTTCAGTGGGCGGGGGGGTTTGATCTGCTGCTGGCATGGCATATCCATCAGGTACAAGCCAATACAGTCCTGGGCTTGTTCAGCCATATGCGGCTCTTTTCAAAGCAAAAACTTGCACGACAGAGCAACAAACACGTACTGTGAAGCGAGACGTGGTCTATGCAAAGATACGCTCTGGCTACGTTTCCAGGCCCGGTTTTTCTGGCGGTTTCGGACACCGTCCTCCTGATCCATCATCTGTTCAAGCAGGGTCTGGTCGTCTGCATTCAGCGGGGCCACCGAGATGTCCCGGACAGCTCGGAACTCACCACAGTTGTTCAGGTGCTCGTTCTCCAGTCGGAAGAAATTCCACACAAACCGTCTACAAAGTGGAGAAAGATGGTACGCCTTAAGAATACCCTGTGGATGTAAATTTTCCCCCCACAGCCGCTAAAATCTAAGAGCAAAGCAAGTCGAAGTAAGAAAGCCACTCCTGGAATAACATTTTCTCTTCTCTGGAAAGGAAAAGCCACCACCGCTGGCGTCTGTTGCATGTGTATTTCCCAGCTAACTGATCGATGTAACTACTGGACAACCTCTTTCTCCCTACCTTAACATGTGTCAGATGCTAAGTGAGGGCAGAGCCAGCAAGGTAAGGAGGACCGGGGGGCGGGGGGCTGTGGAGACTCTGCACACACACCCCACGTTCTGAAACTGAAGAAAGTTATGCAGACGAGGATTCCATAGATATACTTAACTTCCGCAATTCCTGTTGACTGCAATACTGCAATCCTCTTTACCAAATCTCTGAATATTCTGGTACTTCACGCAAAGAACGAACCATAGGTTGGAAGAAGAGTTGTGTAAGAATGGTCAGGAACCAGAGAGAGAGGGATAGAGAGTTTCAAAAGATAAGAAATTCTCATCTGAGGAAGACCTTTCCCAAAATCTCCTTGTTTTTCAATTATTATTTGCATTTAAACATATCCTTTGAAAAAACCATAAGGACTAGAAACAGCATTTCTAATTTTGGGGCTGCTGGGGTGTGTGTGGCTGAGATCGCTCACCGATTCAGGATCTACAGTGAGGACACACAACACGGTCAAAGTGGTATTTCTCTCTATGGCATAACAAATCACTTATGATTATTTGCAAACAAGGCCTACAAAGCCTGCTAACTACTAATTTAGCTGGTGTATCTCACCGAAAAACCTCGAGTGGGGCAAACACGGTAGCGATTATGTCCCCGGCATAAGGGTGAATTTCCATGGTAGTGAGAGAGATCTGGATAGTCCATGCAAATCGCAGAATCACATCTTCTACAATGGCACAATAGTAATAGGCCTGAGGAGACAGAACAAAAGGACAACTGTAACCCAGAACAAGGACGCTCACGAGCTCAGCCTCCAAAGATAAGTACTGAGGAACCTTCCCCGGTCTGGTGTCCTCTGGAAGTGCTGGACTACAGCCAGCCAGGATGACCAATGGCCAAACCGAGGAGAACTGTAGTCTGACAAATCCAGGGCACCGCACTGGGGATGACTCACATTGTTCAGAAGAGAAATTCATCCCTTGCACCTGCGTGTTCTCCATGCTTACTCTGGTCTCTATGCAGGCAAATCAGATCTGTCTTCCCTGTCAAATACAAAGGCAGCATCTCGGAAAATGAGATACGGCTCTCATAGCTAATTGGTCCAAGGCCACTATTATACCATAAAAATGGCTGCACCTGTGCCATGATTTGGCAGTGAGCTGGCAAGCTTCTTGGCTGGAGGTTGCTTGCTCTCCAAATGCCCTCAGAGACATTTATATATTATCATATATATCATATATATCATACGCTATTAAGTATCATATATTATTTACAGGGATCTGTAAGGTGTATCACACTTGTACCATAGCAACTGGCATATATGGTAAGTAACACATGATACAGTAAGCAGGAAATGACAGAGACTAATATTCAGTTTACACTGTGCAGGCGAGTTGGATGCTGGAGGCCTGATACTCTGAAAGCCGCCTCTGGCACAGGTAGGCTTCTCCTTGTCATAGATGCCCCTCTGCTGCTGTACCACAAAGTGACCATGCTGCATAATCTCCCATCGGGCCAACCAAGGACCAGGCTGCATCCCTCAGGTCAGAGATGTGCAGGATATCCCTGGCTGCGTGCCGCTACCCCAGGTCGCCCAGAGGGAAGGGCAGGGCAAAGAGGAGAGCAGGGATTCCCGCCAGGATCTAAAGGTCGAGGTGCTTGGGATGCAGACGGCAGAAGAGGGACACGCCTTCCACCTCTCTCTGACCCAGCCCATCACCTGTCACTGACTCTAGATTTGCAAGATGGGCTTTCATTCTCTAATGCTCCTTTAAAAGCACACCTCTTTGAGACAACTTTTATACTAAGTATGAATGGAACTTGCTAGCTTAAATGCAGTAGATAATCTCATGTCCTGTAGGTGTTTTGGACTACAGCTCCCATCAGCCTTGGACAACATGGTCAGGAATCTCAGCCGGAGGGTGCCAAGTCACTCATTTCAGGCTTAAATAGGTACCAGCTGAGTATGCATCCTCAGCTCCAAACCCAGCAAATGCAATATGCGTATACACACTTTTTGTGGATAGACAATTTCTTCCCGCAGGAAAGTATTTTCGCCGGCATTCTTGTCAAAGAGACCCCAGTCCATCTTCAAGTCCCAGATAAGGGTGTAGCAGGAGCTGATGAAATAGAAGACGATCCACAGGTAGAAGAACACTTGGTAGTCATTGTGTTTTTGGGCTAGAAGAAAGAAGAACCGTTACATTATATAACAGCAAGTGGGCTTTACTTAGATAGCAGCTACATTAATGGTATATTATACCAGCAGCGTATAATCATACTAAATATTTAACTAACACAAATAAGAAGTTTAGGATATGACTCTCAAGGTCTCTGTGTAGAAAATGCACTGCCTAATCACATATGAACAAGCAGTGTTAGAAAAGGCATGAACCTGAAACATTAGTTTTATGTAATTTAAAGAACATTACCTTTACATGTAATGGAAAAATATTTATTTATTCAACATTGATTTGAAAAAAATAAATCAGCCCAATAACAACACTTCCCTTGATGGATCACACAATGCTAAAAGACAGCAATAACAACACTTCCCTTGATGGATCACACAATGCTAAAAGACAGCAGTGCATAATAAATAACAAGCAGCAATAATTATTGCACAAGAGATAAAAATATAACATTCATAAAAGCAATCATTCCAATATGCTGTGAGCATTTGGAAATTATCCAGTCTTAAGTGGAAACATCTGGAATCCCTAAAATGCCTCAGGGAAGAGCAACATCTTCACCTGGAGCTAGAGAAGGTAACAACACGGGCGTGAGGCAAACCTGCTCTCTCCTCTGGTCACCCAGTTTCATGGGAAGGCACAACTCAAGGCAGGGCCTGTGAAGGTGGCTTAAGGCCTGGAGAGGTAGATATGGGTGCAGACTTTTGACCAGAAACTGTGGCTGAAGCCGTTTAGGGCTGCAAAACAGGCAGTTCCACCAGTAAAGGGGGCTTAGAAACAATTTAAGATTCCGGAGAATGCAAACACTTGCAATGCAGAGCAAAAATAAACAAGAAACCAGTGCAGCTGCAATCACTCTATAGCTGCATCATCGTATCTACCAGTCCCTGTTAGTAGTTCAGCATTCTCATTCTGAATGAATCAATGGGATCCGTTCGCCTCTGGTGATGGACATTCTGGTCTATTCTGCACCCTTGTGTAGAGGAAACACTGCTGCAAACCAAAGCTCTGACCATGACAAAATCTCCACATCTCCCACTTGTGGATTACCATCTTCCTGCTGGCCAAGAAACCAAATCTGGACTGTGATTTGCTGCAGGCGTTGCACCAACGGCACAAAACCCATGAGGCTGTGCACTGCGCCAGACTGGGCCAGCACAGGATGAATGCTGAGATCCCGCAGGACAACCCTCCAAGGACTCCTCGGCAGCGGGTCCAAGAGCAGACTAGCCAGCTCAGGCCAGGAGACTGCTGGGCAGCAGGGTGGGCTTATTTCCAGGGGAATGTCCAGCCAGTCCTCAATACGCAACATCAGATGCAAACACTCAGAACTAGCACTCAGGCAGAGATGAGAGGGATAGCCCCCCCCCCCCATGACACTCACATCTGTTAAATATTCTGGATATAAGCTTGCCAATTCTACAGCTGAGTCCATATAACAGGATCAATGCCTCATTTACATATAATTAAAGGAAGCCTTCTGTGTAAATGAAGAGCCAATTTGATCACTTCCCAGATATGAATGTATCAGATATAGGTGTTTCATTTTCACCTTACAAAAATAAACCACTCTATTCTGCCCAGTAACTGTCAGACTTTGCTTACTCTCAGAAGGCACTGAATGCTTTTGTGCCAATGGGCACGAGGCACCGCAGAAAGGAGCAACAGCAGAAGGAAGTTATTGATTACAGCGGGCCCTGCATTCCGGTCCCTACAGCCCCATGGGCTGGCAGCTGTAGAAAGAGAAGCTACCCTGGAAGATCTTGAAGAGGAAAGCATGTCGCATGCAGTGCAACAAAGAGATGCAAGGCCTGGCCAGAAGAATGACACAGTAATAAACAGTGTTCGGTCTGGGCTTAACTCAGCATGATTTATTGGTCAGATCTGCTGCAATGTTTAGGTAATATAATATACGAAGCCGTCTCCGGCTTGGAGCAACCTCAGGAGCGCAAGCCCTCCAGAATGTCCTATCCATGACAGCCCGTTCAGCTCTTGTAGATTCAAGGCTGGGGCTTCCTTGATGGGGCCAATCCATCCCATATTCGGTCTTCCTTGTCTTCTTCTGCCTTTGGTGTGCCCCAGCATGATCGACTTCTCCGGGGAGTCTGGCCATCTCACCAAGTGCCGAAAGTAGGGCAGCTTCACTTTTGCTGTTTTCGCTTCCAGGGACAGCTCATCTCGTTCATCTTTCTGCCAGTCAGCTTGTTTCACTGTCCAGCTTGCACACCCTTATATAGTAACTGAGAATGCAACAGTGCGGATGGCCTTGGCCTTGGCCTTGACTGAAATGTCCTTACACTTGTCTAGTTCCTTCATTGCTGCCCTTCCCAGTCTAGTCTTCTTCAGATTTCTTGGCTGCAGTCTCTCTTCGAATAATGACTGAACCAAGGGATGTGAAATCATTCACAATTTCAGTTTCTTCATTGCTGACAGTAAAGTTCTGTAATTCTATCTGATCTTCCAACCTTGTTTTCTTGCTGATTTGATTTAGATTAATTTACCATCCAGGTAGCTTGCAGAGTCAGTAATACTGGCATAACTTGCAGGATGGCCAAAATCATGTACGTGAAATTCCTTATGCAGTTACAAATGCAATGCGCAAATACAAATTACTTTTCAATGGCTAAATCATCAGCGAGGCTGTCATTCCTGTTTTGTCCAATAGATGGAAGTGGATGCTTTCACATATGGCAAGGCACAGTAATATTCGTCCACATGATGAAAGTGTTAAGAATTTGTAATTCCATCTGGCAATTCTGGCATAATGCAGGACAGGTGATAAGGAATAGTGAGAGGACCTGCTATCCCTGGAAAAAGAAAAGTTTGGCTCCAGACTTCACTGCTCTTACAGTACCGCACCACCATCACACTTAATAGGACTTCAGTTGGCTGTAACAGAGTTAAACCCCATTGATGTCAGTGTGTTTACTTCAGATAAGATTTCATCTGGATCTAATGTAGAGTCTTGTGTCACTTTAAGACTAGCAGCTTTATTGTGCATAAACAAGCTTTCACTGGATAAAGTCCACTCCAGATGGAATCTGATATTTTTCCGGAACTGGGCAAGTATCATACCATTAAGGGGGGAAAGAGTGGACACTAAAGCCAGGGTTGCCTGTTTCCAACTCCTCCATCCAGAAACAGATACTCTGAATAAGTTCAAGCATTAAACGCAGCCCTAACAGACCATGGCATGGCATGGCACCCCCAGTGGGGCTCGCACAGCCGAAGAGCCATCTCCACATAGCAGCCACACCATGGGTTAAACAACCCACAACAGTTTTTGCATAGGGCATGTTGTGATTTAAACTGCTGCAACCAGTCTTCATCTTTTCAACTTATTTTGAATTCAAGTCTTCCAAAAATCAAATTCTGTCCATAATAGACCTGTCAATGTTCTATTACAGTTCCAGATACGACACACAAGCGTGGTGTCATGTTAAGAACACGGGACTGGGATTCAGGAGATCTGGGTTCAAGTCCCCACTCAGCCATGGAGGCAGCTGGGTGGCTTTGGGCAAGTTACATTCTCAGCCCAACCTCCCTCACAGGGTGGTTTTTGTGGGGATAAGATTGAGAGCAGGAGGGGAATGATGTAAACCACCTTGAGTTCTTAAAAAAAAGCAGACAGGATAGAAATCTAATAACTAATTAACTAACTAATCTCTTGGCTTTAAAGGTTTTGCACTACAGGACTGTAAAAAAAAGAGAAGAATCATTTGATTTGACTTGGAGATCTCCTGCAATATTTCGCCTCAGGGAAAACCCTTTCTTCTGTGAAGCAAATGTGGTTTCCTTCATGGCAGAGCATGTCTTTTGCTAACCTCCCATCACCACAAGAGGCCTTTGAAGAGAAGGCTTGTTAATCTAGTCAAAGCCCACAGAGAAACTCAGAGGAGCACAGGAAGATGGCCTTACGCTGCATCAGACCATGGACCTATTGACTCTCACTGGCAATTTTGCTCTCCAATACCCCAGGCAGGATTCTGTCCTGGAGATGACAAGGGAGTGAGCTTGGAACCCTCTTTATTTTATTTTTTATATTTTTTATTTATTTAGACAGCTTATATGCCGCCCCCATCGCATAAGCCTCAGAGTGGCTTACAATCATTAAAATCCCGCATAAAATACAAAAAAATCATCAAATAAATAAAATACATAAGATAAAATAGTGGAAACAGCCTGGTCAATTTAAAATCAACAAATAAACCATTAACAGTTAAAATAGCGTTTAAATAAAAAATACGCTCTGCACTGTTGTGGGTATTGATAAAATACATCTGTGGCACAGCCAAGGTTTTTGTAATGTGTGTGCTCAAGTTTTTTGTCACTTTTATGATACAAATGGTGAAGGTTACATGTTCCCTGGAATGTTTACCTCAGCTCCCCAAAACGTCCTCGATATTCTTCAGCTCCTGAACAGTTCACATGGCCTCTTCTTTCAAGAAGCCCACCATCCTATATCTGGTGTTGCCGAGTCTTGTTACAAGGACAAGACTGCCCGCCACAGAGATTATGTCTACCAGCATTACAGAGAAGGGAGCCAAGAAAAATTATGGGCTATTCCTTCCATGGCTTTGATGAATGTGATTCAGTGCAGCTGTGTGCACGCAGCCCTCTACCCGTGTTGCGTGCCTGATCTTAAAGCATGCATGATGAGCAAGAAAGACTCCCAAGGTCAAGAAGATCCCCAGCTAAAGTTTGCTTATAAACCTGCAAATGCAGCATGAGAGAGTATTTGTGGGTTTCATGAAAAATAGTTCATAAAAAGGAAGAGACAGTGGAATAAAGAGCATCCATTATGTTTTTAATGCATTTCTTATCTCCAAGTTCCGATTTCTACAACTACAGAGTAACCAAAAATAAATAAATAAATAAATAAATAAATAAATGAAAATGCATTGACCCAGAAGCTTCCTATAATGAAATAATGCTGAGGAGCAGCGCAAACGATATCTTCTCTATTCACCCACTCCTTTTGTGGGGTGT